CTGATCCCTTTATATGACACTGATATGGACACCCAACCACTCCACTCGACCTCCCAGTAACAGCGTCCCCTCACACTCTCCTTACAGAACACCTGATTCCAGTGCTCAAATCTCTCTGGATGGTCAGAGTAACGCTGCTCTCCTCCTCTGTACTTCACCACTCTGTTCTGCTCAGACAGACTGAGGTACTGATGTACAGTGTTACGATCCAGAGTCAGTCGACAGAAATCTAAAATAATAACAAAAACACATTTCATTGGTTTATTCACAGAATGAATACAATATGCTTCTCAGTTGTTATTTCTACATTTTATTGTTACATAAATACAAATATAATATAAATAGTAGAGTATTTTGATTGTTTAATGACCAACAAGGGAAAAATACTGTGATCATATTTAAACCTCCAAACATCATTTTGTCATCAGTGACCTAAAATGCTGCGTCTTCCTGGCTGTTTAAGGTTTATTCTGATTTAAAAGGAAACATTGAATCAGGAAAATATACTCTCTAAATTAATGTGTGTGTGTGTGTGTGTGTGTGTGTGTTGTTCGTACACTGTAGAAAATCTTCTCTGGTTTTTGGCTTTGAGGATAAAATCTTCTGAACTGCTGCAGCTGTGGAGACACACAAACACCCTGATTTAACAGAATGAATGAAGGAGATTAAAATGATGTTTAAAGTGGGATAAAATGTGTCATTTGCAGCAGAAGCTCCTCTTACCATGTGGAGAGATTTTACTGAACTCCTCCTTGCAGAATTCCTCTAGTCTCTCTTTCAGATCAGAGAGAGATTTCCTCACTCCATCAAATGAGGGATGTTGATGGACAGTGATGCTGGAGGAGTCCTCACATCCAGAACAGACACTCAGAGACTGGAAACTCTACAGAGACACAACAGAATGATGAAGGTCTACAAGAGTAAAAGATGATCTCACACCAAATTAGACTTCAATCTCCAAGATACTCGTCTTACAATTAAATTTAAAAATGCAGATAAAGACCTTACTGGATTAATTCTTGTTTTACTTTGATATTTATTCTCTCCATCAGTTGCTGAGTTCAGTCAGTACAGACATTCTCTCCATCTACCTCAACCTGACACCTCAACTGATAAAGCATAATGGTGTAAGTTTGGAATTTGCCTCATATTTATTTATTCAAGCAGTTCAGCAACTGCTGACCGGCTTCTACTATGAATGAGTTTAGAGTCTGTGTGTTCTGTTCTTTTTGATATACAGGGAAACGTCAATATTATTATCTGTGATAATCGACAGAACAATCTAGATGCAGCAGTTTCAAAAATGCTGGTATATTACTTTAATGAAGAACCATTTTAGAGCCTCTCTGAGGAGCAGGTTCCTCTGTAGGTGAGTGATGGTTACCTGGAGGAAATGGATGTGATCCTCTGTGACTGAAAGCTGCTCCAGCTCAGTGTTTCTCCTCTTTAGATCATCAATCTCCTGCTTCAGTTTCTTCAGGAGTTCTCCACTTTGTCTCAGATGGTTCTTCTCCTGAGTTCTGATCAGCTCTGTTACCTCAGAGCGCTTTTTCTCAATGGAGCGGATCAGCTCAGTAAAGATCCTCTCACTGTCCTCCACTGCTGCCTGTGCAGAGCGCTGTTAGGACACAGACACACAAGATGGAGCTCCATTTAAACACCAGCTATCATTCACTCTCTCACTGGGACTCTAGATGACTGACTGTCCACATTGTGGCTGTGTAGGATCTCTAAGTGTCCAACACTGGACTCCTCACTGTCTGACTGGAGGAGAGTCTGAGTGAGCTGTGAAACAGCTGCTCCAGCAGATCTCTGCCCACTACTCACCTTAAGAGTGACCACAGCCTGTTTCAGCTCCAGCAGCTTCGTCTCTTTCTGCTGGAGTCTCCGCTTGAATTTCCTCTGAATCTTCTTCAGCTGAGACTAGAGGCAAAAATATCAACCAAACTAAAATTGCAGCATTTGAATAGTAATAGTAGCAAAAGACTTAAGGGTTCATATTGTTCTGTACAGTTCTGAGACTGTGTGCTCTTTATTAGTCTGTAGAGAGGCTAAAAGACGGGTGTCGGCTGGTGAAATGTTTATGGACTACAACTAGTTTTGCAGCATTGCTGAAAAAAAAAGTAATCTACCACTTTCTTATCCACTTCATACAGGAATAAAGCAACAGTACAGAAACAGAATCAGCATGAACTGATTCTAAATATTTCTATTTCTCACCTGTTTCTCGGTTCTCTCTGCTACAGCTGCAACTGTATCGTGGCCTTTGTGGTCATGCATCGTACACAAATAACAGATGCAGCTTTGGTCAGTACGGCAGTAGATCTCAATCAGTTTGTCATGTTGAGAGCAGATCTTCTCCTGCAGTCGTGTGGAGGCTTTGACCAGCTTGTGCTTTTTCAAAGCAGGAACATCATAGTGAGGTTTAAGATGAGCTTCACAGTAAGACGCCATGCAGGCCAAACAGGACTCACTGGCTTTGCGTTTCCTCCCAGTGCAGAAATCACACTCCACATCTCCAGGTCCAGCGTAACAGTGAGCAGGAGGAGCAGCTTGGAGTTCTGTCTTCTTCACTTTCTCCACCACTTCAGCCAGCATGTTGTTTCTGCGTAGAACAGGCCTCGGAGTGAAGGTCTCTCTGCACTGGGGGCAGCTGTAGACCCCCCTCTGATCCTCCTGATCCCAGTGTCTGTTAATACACACCATACAGTAACAGTGTCCACAGTGAATAGTCACTGGATCCTTCAGCAGATCCAGACAGACTGGACAGCTGAACTGGTCCTGATCTACTGAAATACTGGCCTCTGCCATTTTCCTGCACTCGCAGACTGAGAGAGAGAGAGAGAGAGAGAGAGAGAGAGAAGAGAGAGAGAGCAGCACTCTGGGATAAGTTTCGTTTCCTCTGAACAGAGTAGGAATGACTTCCTGCTTCTCTGTTTGTTAATGTGTCATAGACAGAGAGGGGGAGGGTGAAGAGAGAGGGGGGGTTGCTGTCATCACAAAAAGCACATTACATATGCAATACACCAAAAAACAATATAGTATAAATAAGACCAAACAGATTTGGTACAATTCCTTTTATTTTCTTCTCATTTCTTAGTTTTTCAGAATGTATGAGTGGCCATGTATCACTAACCACTGTTATTAAACGCTAGATAACGTTAGCTGACTATCAGGCACCACTTTCATGTTTAGTTCATGGCAAAATAGTAACATTTCCAAAAACAGTAGCATCTAAACACACTAATGTAACAGGTAGATTAACCTTGCTAACTTCAGCTTATGTTGAAGGACACAATTAACTCATATATTACTGTCTAATAAATTAATAGTGTACCTGATGTTTTTTGCCACCTTATAAAGGAACACTGTCTAATCTGGCTGCCCGCTAAATTCAGCTATATGATTTAGTTCGTTTTTCATACTGTGGCCTAAACCACATCATCAAGTCTGAGGCCTTAATGAAGACCTGGATGTAGCTTTGAGTGGGTTGAGAGAAGTTTTGTTGAAGTAGTTACAGAAAAGATTGAACTGATTACTGATCTCCATGTTTTCTAATGTTTATATCAACGTCAGCCTCACAGCTGCAGTGTTAAACTAAAAAAAAGCAACAGCTGGACACCAAACACGTCTGAGCTGATCGACTAGCCCTCATCAGAGGTCAGTGGCAAGTTGTGTGAGTTTGATATTTCACCAAAATATTTATATTTGAGTTTATTTTCTCTCATATGATGACGGTGCAGTTTTCTCTCATATTGTCATTAACCCCCTCCTGCAGTGATCGCTCCTCTCAAATATGGATAGATTACAGTGGAATACACACAATATTTTAGAATTGTACTCCACTGTTCAAAAGACAGGAGTCAATGTTTTCAAAAAAATTCAATTTTGTTGCAGAAATATGAAGTGATTCTAATAAACTACTGCAACTTCACAGAATTTGAAACAATTAAGAGGAAACATTTTAGACATATCCAGATTAATAAAGATTTGTTGATGAATAATCAAAAATGAAGATATGAAATCAATATCCACAATCCCTAATTGAAAATCTACAATAAATCTTGAGAAACAGAAAATTTGAATATGTTTTTTAATTCAATAAATTCTCATTGATCTCAAAATACTCTACTCTGCATGAGGTGCAACTGTGATCTATCGCAGCTCCTCTGGTGAATAATGTTACTCACAAAAGCAGTTTTGCTGACACTGTGCGACGCAACGCCGCCAACCCAAACAACACAAAACACATGCAGGGCGGAGAGATACATGCAGGGCATTGTAAGAAAAAAATAGTACCCAAAGAAAACGAATCGAAACAAGTTTTTTTTTAATTTAGCACTATTTTACCATCACTGTGACATATAAACCCTTATCAGACACATGTGAGTTCACTGGTCATTTTGGATTGCACATTTCACACCAAACTACTCTGAATGATTTAGTTTACATCTAAACCACTGAATGATTAAGTAATTTTGCAAAATTAATTATTATTAAGTGACCCTTATTAGTCCCACAACAGGGAAATTTAACCTCCACATTAAACCCATCCGTGCAGTGAAACACCACACACACACACACACACACACACACAAGGGGGCAGTGAGCACACTTGCCCAGAGTGGTGGGCAGCCCTATCCACAGCACCCAGGGAGCAGTTGGGGGTTAGGTGCCTTGCTCAAGGGCATCTCTGTCATGTACTGTTGGCTCAAGGAATCGAACCAGTGACCTTCCGGTCACAAGGCTGGTTCCCTAACCTCCAGCCCACGACTGATCCCCAAAAAGCCAAAAAAAAAACAGCACCACGGTTCGCAAGGAAGGGCCAGACCACATCCGATCCAAGCCAGAGCGGGATTCGAACCATCGCACGAGCAAACGGACACAACGTTAGTGTGGCCATTCAACTGCACCACCGGGGGCTGCCAAAATTGACGTAGTTCCCCTTTCTCAGTCAATTCAAAGTAATATTGCCCTATTCCTATTGGTCCATTCATTATGAAATTTGAATACAATGCAAAGGGCAACTGGAGTTTTCAAATTATATAAAAATACAAAGGTTGTTGCACAACAGCGACAATATGCTGGCTTTGCTGGTGATCAGCACTACAGCTTCTAGAGCAGCTGGCTATCATACAAGCATCTAAAACACAACAGGGTTTGCTAAAATACTGAGATGAATGTAGGGCAGGACTGACAGCTGGTGCAGATGAAATAAACAGCAAGACAGAAGCTGATATGGAGCATTTTGTATCACAGTTTAATGGACGATCCCGGTCCAAGCCCAAACCCAGCGTAGAGCGGCTGAGTGAATGTGGTGTGGACTGTGTGAAGGAGGGTCATTGTGTCAGAGACGCTGTAGAAGGACAGAGTTCCTGCACTGTGATCCACATACACTCCTATTCTGGAAGATGATGGAGCTGAGAGCTCAGTCTTAATGTTGTTGTGCGAGAAGGAGAGAGTAGAGAGACACTGCAGACTCCAGGACTGATTGTTGAGTCCAAACACGCACCCGTTACCCCATCCTTTCCTGCTGATCCCCTTATATGCCACTGATACGTACACAACACCAAATAGCCCTCTGCTCCACTCGACCTCCCAGTAACAGCGTCCACTCACACTCTCCTTACACAACACCTGAGACACTGAATCAAATCTCTCTGGATGGTCAGAGTAACACTGGGCTCTTCCTCTGTACTTCACCACTCTGTTCTTCTCAGACAGAACCAGCTCATGATTTACTGTGTTGGGATCCAGAGTCAGCCGACAGAAGTCTAAAGGAAAATGGAAAATAATCAGTAAGTAAGTAAGTTGTCAGTGTATAATGACATATTTACACTTTTCTACAAGCAAGATTTTAGAGTCTGTCTCATGCCAAACAACCAGGGGCATGACTACACACTTAAAAAAGATGGTTCTTCACGGGTTCTTTAGTAAAGAAAATGGATCTATCCATAATTAAAGGGTTCTTTGCATCGTAAAGGGGCTCTTCAGATTGATGGATAATTCGCTGGAGATGGTTCCATGTAGAACCTTTTTCAAAATGGTTCTATATGGTACTGTGGCTTGCGCTCTTCCCCCGGGCCCTGATGACGACTGGAGGTGGGGCTCGGGACTCGCACGCTGTCCTCCACTCACTTGCGGTTCTCCTCTTCCCGCCATCCTCATGGTTCTTTGTCCTCGCTCAGAGTTCGGGCCCCACCTTCCTGCCGGTCTTGTGGTCGACGTCGGAGCCCGGAGGACGGGTGCGTGCCAAAGTTTATTTATATAGCGCTTTTTACAACAGTTGTTGTCAGAAAGCAGCTTTACAGAAAAATCTGGGTCTGAGCCCCCATGAGAGTCGCCAATGGCAACAGTGACAAGGAAGACTCAGAGCAAGAGGAAGGAACCTTGAGAGGAACCAAGACTCAAAAGGGGAACCCATCCTCCTCTGGTCGACACCAGACAGCAAACAGCATTAGTATAAAATATTATACTACAAAACGGGGAAAAACAGGTTTGAGGAATGGCTAATTAGATAGTTTGAGTTTATGCAGCAGCAGCAGCAGCAGGAGGGTCAGTTCATGCAGGTGAGGTTTGCACAGGGTTATACAGCATGAGGCTCCATGGTGGTCAAAACGGTCCAGTAGACTGAAACGGTCTAGAAGGCTTATTACAGTAGAAGAACCCTTTTTGGTGCTACATAGACCCCTTTTCCAAAAGGTTCTATACAGAACCTTCTACAGCACGTTCTCCATTAATCTGAAGAACGATTTCACGCAAATCATGCAAAGGGTTCACGCAAATCATGCAAAGGGTTCCTTGAGTGCTCATGATTCTCCATAGAACCATTTTCTTTATTAAAGAACCCTTGACAGACCATCATTTTTGGCCCTTTTTTGAGGAGAATTTTGGGCAAAACCATAGAAAGTATTCCCAAGATTTCTCAACCAGGGCAAGACAGTGAAAAGTGCATAGGGTGTATCAGAGCATGACAGTGAAAATGCCTCAAATTTGATTTCATACTAGTTTGTTTACTTGTCTCCAGCTCCCGTCTGCGACCCAGAAGGTTAAGTGACTTAGAAAATGTGTGTGTGTATGAAGTTTACTTGTGAGTGCAACATCACCAAAACTTAAGAGGACACTGTTAACATTTCAAAGTGCAACTTTGCGTACAGCTAAAAATAACAATGGTGACAAAAACATCACCACAAAACTGATGAAACATGTTACTCTCTGTAGGCATGACACCACCATAAATAACACAACAACCCCATCATTAACATCACAGGCTTAAATAAAAGTAATTACAGTCTGATTAACTGTAAAACGGCAGTATAAAACCTAAAAACGTCACTTCAGTGTTTTACACACTTCAAATGTTCGTGTTTCAGTCAGAAGTCACGTCAAACCCAGGCTGAATCCCAAACGGCTCTGTCCTCCCTAAATAGTCTTCTAGCTATGAAAGTTTAGAAATTCTAGCCTCTACAGCCAAATAGTGCGTCATTTATCGAGTATGAATGTTGCTGAATCTCAGCTATATTATTCACTGTTGGGCTGCAGGATCCAGTATTTAAATTACTACGTAGGGCACTATGTAGGGAGCAGGGAGCCAAATAAGACTCACGGTGGTGATTCGGTAACCAACAATTACTTATAAGTGAAAGTTTTTACATTAAACAGTTCTGTTATCATATGTTCATTGTTATACAACAAAAGGTTAAAAAGTTTATAAAATCACTGCAATATACAGCGAGGGGCGACTGAATACTTGTTTATGTTGATTATTATTGATAATAACTCAAGTTATTGTCTGAAAAGGTATGTATTTTATCATAGTTAATGTTGGCCACCATTTTATAAAAGCAATAAGCCACTTGAGACCATAATGCACAGCCTCTCTTGGCTTATTGCTTTAATAAGCCTTAGCATGTAATAAATCTGGGAATATAAGGGATTAAAATTCACTTTCCTCCCTAGTTGAGTTGAGTTAGTTGAGTTCAGATTAAAGGTGCCAAGTTAAAGGTGTCAAAGGTGGTAAATTCCTACCTGGCTATATGAATAGACATATTTCTTAAGTATGGAAATAATATATGCTGGTATTGCATTAAATAATATTTACTTATGCAATACAGTAAATTTTCTCAGCTTCATTTATATGAAAATTTTCTCATCTCAGGCTAAGCCTTAGGTGTTTGCTCAGTCTGTGCATGCCCCTCCTACCAGTCCATATATGTGGTGTGTAACATATCCAGTTTAACAATAACACAAACAGCACATATACAAAAAAAAAAACTTTACATATAAAACAGATGTTACAAGGAGGCGAGTTTTTAATTTTCCAGTTTCAGCATTCCCATTCAGGAATTTCTTGGTTTTCTAGCCTGTTAGCTAGCTACAGTAAGCTAACATTTGTTAGTTAGCTAAAGTAAGCCAACATTTGTTAGCTAGCTAAAGTAAGCTAACATTTGTTAGCTAGCTAAAGTAAGCCAACATTTGTTAGCTAGCTAAAGTAAGCCAACACTTGTTAGCTAGCTAAAGTAAGCCAACATTTGTTAGTATTTTCTTATTTGACAGCTCTTGGTCGAATTTTACCATTCCACCTTAATTGGTGCATCAGCCAGCATCTTGATTGAATTTTCCTGTTCCACCTTAAATCGTGCAGCTTCAGGCAGCAGAAAGTGACAGCTGCACCTTTTAAGGTGGAACAGGAAAACTCGAACAAGAAGCTGGCGAATAGGAAGCCAACTTTAGCTCCGTCCTTCTTACTGTGTTTTGGGGGTTTATTTTATGTTATGGGGGTTTATATTTTATTTTAAGATTAGAAGTGATTCCCACATTGATGGATTTGCTGATATGTGTGTTTATGTTTCTCGCGCTAAACTCGGTTTTTAGCGTCAGGTGCAGACTGAATACTTTCCTGTTGGTCTGGATGGCTAATTAGCACGATCAGTTATTAAAGTAATAAAGCTACCGAGAGCAGTCAGTGCAGCCAAGATTAATCTGTGTCTGGGGATTATAACAAAACAAACATGGTGAAAATCGGATGAGTAATAAGGAAGTTGCGGCTGAATTAATCCTGAGACTCTTCGTCTCTGAATACAAGAGAATTTGTTCACAAGTGGATCTTGACCTCTCCAACATGGCGGACGCACGGACGTATTGCCTCAGATAGAGAACAACAGACAACGCGGCATCCAGGAATGAATATCTATGGTCAGCTAACATTCGTTAGCCAGCTAAGGAAGCTAACATTGGTTAGCCAGCTAAGGAAGCTAACATTGGTTAGCTAGCTAAGGAAGCTAACGTTGGTTAGCCAGCTAAGGAAGCTAACCTTAATTAGTTTGCTGAATACGAGGCACAAACATTAACATTTCTAAGAAACTGCAGCAAATATGGTAGAGATTAATTCAGTTATCATCAAATTGTCAAAGCAAAGCTATAAAAAGTGAAAGAGAGAAAAAATCTCAAAACACCAGAGTTAACATGGCGCTAGCTTAAAGGCTAATAGCTATTTTAACAGTGCTCACTGTAGCTTGTGTTTAGCTTCCTGCTGAAGGCTAATAGTCTCTGATGCATCCCTGTCTAATAAATAAATACAGTACCTGATGTTTTTGTGTAGCTGCACCTCATTTAGGACATGTTTGAATTTACCTCAGAGCTGCTAACGTAGCTTCAGCTTCTCTCACGATGACGGTGCTGTTTGAATCCTCTGCAGCTGAGAGGAGACGCTTAAACGCTGCTCACAAACACTGACAGATTTTCTTTTCCCCAGTAAAACTTATTTCCTGAACAAAAATTGATGAAATGATTCTGATGTGTTAGAACAGTGCAACATCACAAATCTCACATAATTATTAGGACACTAAATTGTTAAAAAGATGTTTTTTGATGTTTCCAGAATGACCAACAGAGCTGAACAGCACTGTGAAATCACTCAGAAAGATCTATAGCACCAAGAATTACGTTATCATTTAATATCCAGTAATAATTTAATATTCAGATGTGTCGTTTTTCACAAGTGGTGTTAAAATTTGAAGAACCTGACTCAGAATTAATGTTTGTGATTAATCATTTAATAATATTTTGTTGATTCTAATGCTCAAAATATCTTAAATTAAACATCTTAAATATCTTTGGGTGAGTCATTTATAATATGTAAATGTACATTATGTAAGTTGTTATTGTATATAAAATAACAAAAATGACTAATATAAGGAGTGAATCTAAACTTTTGAACAGCAGTGTACATGAAAATAACCAGTAAAAAGATGGATGTTTTTACTGTGGCAGGTGTACCCGAACCTTCCACTATCATTTCAGGATAAAATCATCAGATTAAACAGCCTAAATGTACGAGCACATCTGTTAGCTTTTAGAATACTGTTAAAATCATACTAAGCTCTCTCTGCCTCCTCCTGACTGCAGCGTCTGTTATTTGGTGCTTTGTTTTTAAACCTCTTTTCAAGTCTATTTAAACAGTGTTATTAATTTTGATAACAGGCATATGCAGCTGTATGGAGGCCTGTGGCCACCAGGGGGCCTCCTTATCATTTTTGTGTTATTACTAGAGAATGTGTAGAATGTGTATATTGTCTTTTGGGCTTCTCAAACACCAGAGGGCACGCACGAGCAAGTCCAACATGAATGGGTTAATAAGGAGCATTTGAGCAAAATCACAGTTTGAAAATGCTTAAAACATTTAAACAGAAATATTTAAACCGCTTTCAGCCATTTCAGCCATTCAGCCAATGAGCTGTTCTGCTCAGCTTTCAGTAGCAGTAATGCTAACCAATCATTGCTTAGTAGCAGTAATGCTAACCAATCAGCGCTCAGTAGCAGTAATACTAACCGATCAGCTCTCAGTAGCAGTAATGTTAGCATCCTGCTGCTCAAACCTGTTTGCTGTAGGAAAAGGAAACTAAGGTCAGTTTTCGTTGCTTTTTTAGTGAAATTCTTTCTTCTACTTTCTAAAACTAAAGGAAAGTTCTGTGTGATTTGAAACTATTTTAATTTTTAGTTTTTAGCCGTTTGGCTCCATTTACTCCGTTCATTGAGGACTCACTCGCCAACATCTGGCGTTTTGCAGTCCTGTTTTTGATACAATTGGAGAAACAGGAAGTGACCAGACTCTTCATAATCCAGCTCTGTGGTCACTGTACCGTTAGGCTGTTAACGTAGCATAACGGTAAAGAAAAACTAAAAGTTTTGTATTTTTTATGCTGTTTTTTAGGCTTTAGATGGATCTGCCAGCTCAGTGTTAGTTTTTTAAAATTTGATTTATTGATTTGGATTCGTTTTTGTTTGTTTTTGTTGATTTACTGAAGAATGAGACAGTAAAATAGTTTTTTTTAATGTTATTTTATTTTTACAGTGTGTAAATCCGGCCCACACAACACCACGTTCATATTGTTCTGCCTGTAGCTTGTTCCAGCCCAGACAGTATAAAACAAACACGAGTCACAGATGTGAACAAACAGCAACCACAGCTTACGTAATGACATCACATCAATACACAACGTTTCCCCTTTGCTTGGACATAAACCCAAAATCATGCCGTGAATGTTTTTTTATAACTTTCTTTAATTCATACACTGACGTGGTGGTGGTGTGTTAGTGTGTGTTGCGCTGGTCTGAGTGCATCAGACACAGCAGTGCTGCTGGGGTGTTTAAACACTGTGTCCACTCACTGTCCACTCTATTAGACACTCCTATCTTGTCAGTCCACCTTGTAGATGTGAAGTCAGAGACGATAGCTCATCTGCTGCTGCACAGTTTGTGTTGGTCATCCTCTAGTCCTTCATCAGTGGTCACAGGACGCTGCCCACAGGACGCTGTTGGCTGTTTCTCAGTCCAGCAGTGACACTGAGGTGTTTAAAAACTCCAGCAGCACTGCTGTGTCTGATCCACTCAGACCAGCACAACACACACTAACACACCACCACCACATCAGTGTTACTGCAGTGCTAAAAATGATCCACCACCCAAATAGTACCTGCTCTGTGAGGGTCCTGTGGGGGTCCCTATGAAATACATAGCCTAGATTAGGTTATATCAAAAAAGAAAAGTTTTACATGGATATTTACACTTTAAATGTGTTACCACAAACCATAAATTGGATACTGTTTCAGGAAAACTCAGAACACATCAGCATATTATAGTTATATCTGTATTTTTGGGGATGTTGATATTTCGTCCATAGACGATCATTCGTTTTACAGTACAGTGTTTACTAATATGGTGATCAAGTGTCGTCAGTGTGTTTATAGTGACGTCATCAGCAACCTCTACAGCCCAAACCAGCCCTTTATATGACTGTATACAGCCATTAGTTTCTTACCACTAAAACTTACTTGAGTGCTAATAGCTCCCCCTTGTGGAGAATCTTACAGGAAAAGACAATCCTGATAAAAAGGGCGTCTCTAAATACACACAAGTCCTCTTAATACAGACAACACACTGTTTATTAACAAACACAATGAGATTCATCTTAATGAAGCTGTTTTCCTCTGAACACAACATACGGTTTAGAAGACAAACAGTCCAAAAGTAAGAGATTAATCAGATTTGATTAGTTTAGATTAATAATTCTTTGGATTAAGATACAGATTACATTTTAACAGGTGGCCAGTAATTCACACTAAAATACAGGACAACTCAGTCCTTTGCAGCATGTTTACATCACAACTAGAAAAGTATTTTGATAATTTCATTGGTTTGATGTAAATTGTTTATGAATCTACCTGAAAAGTATCCGTCATATAAAACAGACACTCATTTCTGATCACATAATCTTACAGATCCACCAACAAACAGACCAACACCGAGCCCAAACCCAGCGTAGAGCGGCTGAGTGAATGTGCTGTGGACTGTGTGTAGGAGGGTCATTGTGTCAGAGACGCTGTAGAAGGACAGAGTTCCTGCACTGTGATCCACATACACTCCTATTCTGGAGGATGATGGAGCTGAGAGCTCAGTCTTAATGTTGTTGTGACAGAAAGTGAGAGTGGATGAACAGAACAGACTCCAGGACTGATTGTTGAGTCCAAACCTGCTCTCATCACCCCATCCTTTCCTGCTGATCCCTTTATATGACACTGATATGGACACCCAGTTACTCCACTCGACCTCCCAGTAACCACGTCCACTCACACTCTCCTTACACAACACCTGTTTCCAGTACTCAAATCTCTCTGGATGGTCAGAGTAACGCTGCCCTCCTCTTCTGTACGTCACCACTCTGTTCTGCTCAGACAGTCTGAGTCTATGATTTACAGTGTTGGGATCCAGAGTCAGTCGACAGAAATCTAAAATAATAACAAAAACACATTTCATTGGTTTATTCACAGAATTAATTCATGATGAATAAAATATGCTTCTCAGTTGTTATTTCTACATTTCTATTTTGTTACAAAAATATAAATATAATATAAATATGAAATACAAATATAGAGTATTTTGATTGTTGTCTAATGACCAACAAGGGAAAAATGCTGTGATCACATTTAAACCTCCAAACATCATATCGGGAAATTATATTGTCTAAATTAACATGTGTGAGTGAGTGTGTATGTGTTTGTAGTGTGTGTATCTGTGTGTGTGTGTGTATATGTGTGTGTGTGTGTGAGAGAGTGTGTGTGTGTGTGTGTGTGTGTGTGTGTGTATTTCTGTGTGTATGTATTGTGTTTGTGTGCGTGTATCTGTGTTTGTGTGTGTGTGTGTGAGTGTGTGTGTGTGTGTGTGTGTGTGTGTGTGTGTGTGTGAGTGTGTTGTTCATACACTGTAGAAAATCTTCTCTGGTTTTTGGCTCTGAGGATAAAATGGTCTGAACTGCTGCAGCTGTGGAGACAAACAAACACACTGATTGAACAGAACGAAGAAGATTAAAAAGATCAGAAAAAAACTTTAAAATGATGATTAAAGTGGGATAAAATGTGTCATTTGCAGCAGAAGCTCCTCTTACCATGTGGAGAGACTTTACTGAACTCCTCCTTGCAGAATTCCTCTAGTCTCTCTTTCAGATCAGAGAGAGATTTCCTCACTCCATCAAATGAGGGATGTTGATGGACAGTGATGCTGGAGGAGTCCTCACATCCAGAAGAGACACTCAGAGACTGGAAACTCTACAGAGAGAAAACAGAGCAAAGAGAGATGTATTTCTTGCAGATTTGCAGAGCATTTAGACCAACTTTACAGCCTCTCTGAGGAGCAGGTTCCTCTGTAGCTGAGTCATTGTTACCTGGAGGAAATGGATGTGATCCTCTGTGACTGAAAGCTGCTCCAGCTCAGTGTTTCTCCTCTTTAGATCATCAATCTCCTGCTTCAGTTTCTTCAGGAGTTCTCCACTTTGTCTCAGCTGGTTCTTCTCCTGAGTTCTGATCAGCTCTGTTACCTCAGAGCGCTTTTTCTCAATGGAGCGGATCAGCTCAGTAAAGATCCTCTCACTGTCCTCCACTGCTGCCTGTGCAGAGCGCTGTTAGGACACAGACACACAAGATGGAGCTCCATTTAAACACCAGCTATCATTCACTCTCTCACTGGGACTCTAGATGACTGACTGTCCACATTGTGGCTGTGTAGGATCCCAAAGTGTCCAACACTGGACTCCTCACTGTCTGACTGGAGGAGAGTCTGAGTGAGCTGTGAAACAGCTGCTCCAGCAGATCTCTGCCCACTACTCACCTTAAGAGTGACCACAGCCTGTTTCAGCTCCAGCAGCTTCGTCTCTTTCTGCTGGAGTCTCCGCTTGAATTTCCTCTGAATCTTCTTCAGCTGAGACTAGAGGCAAAAATATCAACCAAACTATAATTGCAGCATTTGAATAGTAATAGTAGCAAAAGACTTAAGGGTTCATATTGTTCTGTACAGTTCTGAGACTGTGTGCTCTTTATTAGTCTGTAGAGAGGCTAAAAGACGGGTGTCGGCTGGCAAAATGTTTATGGACTACAACTAGTTTTGCAGCAAAGTAATCTACCACTTTCTTATCCACTTCATACAAGAATAAAGCAACAGTACAGAAACAGAATCAGTGTATGTGAGAGTGTGTGTGTGTGTGTGTGTGTGTGTGTGTGTGTGTGTGTGTGTGAGAGTGATTCTAAAATATTTCTATTTCTCACCTGTTTCTCGGTTCTCTCTGCTACAGCTGCAACTGTATCGTGGCCTTTGTGGTCATGCATCGTACACAAATAACAGATGCAGCTTTGGTCAGTACGGCAGTAGATCTCAATCAGTTTGTCATGTTGAGAGCAGATCTTCTCCTGCAGTGGTGTGGAGGCTGTCATCACAAAAAGCACATTATATATGCAATACACAAAAAAACAATATAGTATAAATAAGATGAAACAGATTTGGTACAATTCCTTTTATTTTCTTCTCATTTCTTAGTTTTTCAGAATGTATGAGTGGCCATGTATCACTAACCACTGTTATTAAACGCTAGATAACGTTAGCTGACTATCAGGCACCACTTTCCTGTTTAGTTCATGGCAAAATAGTAACATTTCCAAAAACAGTAGCATCTAAAAACACTAATGTAACAGGTAGATTAACCTTGCTAACTTCAGCTTATGTTGAAGGACACAATTAACTCATATATTACTGTCTAATAAATTAATAGTGTACCTGATGTTTTTTGCCACCTTATAAAGGAACACTGTCTAATCTGGCTGCCCGCTAAATTCAGCTATATGATTTAGTTCGTTTTTCATACTGTGGCCTAAACCACATCATCAAGTACACTCCTATTCTGGAGGATGATGGAGCTGAGAGCTCAGTCTTAATGTTGTTGTGTGAGAAGGACAGAGTAGACAGACACTCCAGACTCCAGGACTGATTGTTGAGTCCAAACACGCACCCGTTACCCCATCCTTTCCTGCTGATCCCATTATACGCCACTGATACGTACACAACACCAAATAGCCCTCTGCTCCACTCGACCTCCCAGTAACAGCGTCCACTCACACTCTCCTTACACAACACCTGAGACACTGAATCAAATCTCTCTGGATGGTCAGAGTAACACTGGGCTCTTCCTCTGTACTTCACCACTCTGTTCTTCTCAGACAGAACCAGCTCATGATTTACTGTGTTGGGATCCAGAGTCAGCCGACAGAAATCTAAAGGAAAATGGAAAATAATCAGTAAGTAAGTAAGTTGTCAGTGTATAATGACATATTTACACTTTTCTACAAGCAAGATTTTAGAGTCTGTCTCATGCCAAACAAACAGGGGCATGACTACACACTTAAAAAAGATGGTTCTTCACGGGTTCTTTAGTAAAGAAAATGGATCTATCCATAATTAAAGGGTTCTTTGCATCGTAAAGGGGTTCTTCAGATTGATGGATAATACGCTGGAGATGGTTCCATGTAGAACCTGTTTGAAAATGGTTCTATATGGCACTGTGGCTTGCACTCGTCCCCCGGTCCCTGATGACGACTGGGGGCTGGGCTCAGGACTTGCATGCTGTTCTCCACTCATCTGCGGTTCTCCTCTTCCCGCCGTGCTCATGGGGCTTTGTCCTTGCTCAGGGTTCACGGTCGTTGCTGGGGTTTATTTAAGTTTATTTATATAGCGCTTTTTACAACAGGTGTTGTCACAAAGCAGCTTTACAGAAAAATCTGAGTCCCATGAGTGTCGCCAATGACGACAGTGGCAAGGAAAACTCGGAGCAAGAGGAAGAAACCTTGAGAGGAACCAAGACTCAAAAGGGGAACCCATCCTCCTCTGGTCCACACCGTACAGCAAACAAAGTTAGTATAAAGTATTAGAATACAGAACAGGGAAAAAAACAGGCAGAGCAATGGTTAATTAGATAGCTTGAGTTATTGAGCAGCAGCAGCAGCAGGAGGGTCAGTTCATGCAGGTGAGGTTTGCACAGCTTTGTACAGCGTGAAGCTCCATGGTGGTCAAAACGGTCAAGGAGGCTGAAACGATCCAAAAGGCTTGTTACAATAGAAGAACCCTTTTTGTCAGGCTTGTTACAATAGAAGAACCCTTTTTGGTGCTACATATACCCCTTTTCCAAAAGGTTCTATATAGAACCTTCTACAGCACGTTCTCCATTAATCTGAAGAACGATTTCACGATGCAAAGACCCCTTTAATCATGCAAAGGGTTCCTTGAGTGCTCATGATTCTACATAGAACCATTTTCTTTACTAAAGAACGCTTGACAGACCACCATTTTTAAGTGTGTTGGCCCTCTCTATTGGGCTTTTTGGCTCTTTTTTGACATCCAAATGAGCATTATGAGGAGAATTTTGGGCAAAACCATAGAAAGTATTACCAAGATTTCTTAACCAGGGCAAGATACAAAGTATCTTTGAAAAGTACAAAGGGTGTGTCGGAGTGTGACAGTGAAACAGGGTCTCAAACTGCCTCAAACAAAAACATCACCACAAAACTGATGAAACATGTTACTCTCTGTAGGCATGACACGACCATAAATAACACACTCCAGCTTTGTTTAACCTCTTAAATGACCAAGGTTTTATGATACCGTTCTATAACCTAAGAACAGCTCAGCCAGTTTGCATTCAAGTTCCTGTACTTACTGAATAATAAGCCTTATTATGTAATAAGCCTGAGATTTTAAGGGGTTGAAATTCACTTTGTATGGAAGTATGGAAATAATATATGCTGGTATGGTATTAAGTAATCGGTAACACTTTACTGTAGGGTACGGTTCATAAGGCTACATGACATCTACATAAGCTTGTCATGGCGACTGACATAGACCTACATAAATGTTTATAAATGCCTATTCCAACAGACGTCATTTGCTATAAAGGTGTATTTGCCAATTTTGATCAAGGTTAGCTAAAGTAGCCTTTATGATAGATGATGCCTATTGGAATAAGCATTTATAAACATTTATGTAGGGTTATGTCAGCTGTCATGGCAAGCTTATGTGCATGTCATGTAGCCTTATGAACTGTGCCCTACAGTAAAGTGTTACCAAATAATCTTTACTTATGCAATACAGTAAATCTTCTCAGCTTAAATTATATTAAATTTTTCTCATCTCAGGCTAAGCCTCAGGTGTTTGTGCAGTCTGTGCATGCCGTTCCTGCCAGTGCACGTGTGTGGTTAAAGGAGACACTATCTGTGTGTGTACTTGTGTGTTGTACTTACACTGCAGAAAATCTGCTCTGGTTTTTAGCTCTGAGGACAAAATCTGAACTGCTGCAGCTGTGGAGACACATAAACACACTGTTTTAACAGAATGAATGAAGGAAACTCAAACACTCGCTCAGAAAGACAGAAGCAGCTAACAGATATACAGCTGCTCCTATTGAATATGGATCAAATTGTTCTCTATAATACACCGAATCTCTGTCTCTCACTCTATCACTGTAACTTTAGATATAATACACCGATCAGGCATAACATTATGACCACCTCCTTGTTTCTGCGCTCATTGTCCATTTTATCAGCTCCACTTACTATATAGGTGCACTTTGTAGTTCTACAGTTACAGACTGTAGTCCATCTGTTTCTCTGATACTTTGTTAGCCCCCTTTTACCCTGTTCTTCAGTGGTCAGGACCCCCATGGACCCTCACAGAGCAGGTACTATTTGGGTGGTGGATCATTCTCAGCACTGCAGTGACACTGACGTGGTGGTGGTGTGTTAGTGTGTGTTGTGCTGGTATGAGTGGATCAGACACAGCAGTGCTGCTGGAGTTTTTAAACACTGTGTCCACTCACTGTCCACTCTATTAGACACTCCTACCTTGTCAGTCCACCTGGTAGATGTAAAGTCAGAGACGATAGCTCATCTGCTGCTGCACAGTTTGTGTTGGTCATCCTCTAGTCCTTCATCAGTGGTCACAGGACGCTGCCCACAGGACGCTGTTGGCTGGATATTTTTGGCTGGTGGACTATTCTCAGTCCAGCAGTGACACTGAGGTGTTTAAAAACTCCAGCAGCACTGCTGTGTCTGATCCACTCAGACGAGTGCAACACACACTGTGCAGGGAAACCACTAAAATGTGCAGGGATGTAGTTTGTGAATTATCACTGAAGTAAAGATTTCTGTCCCTCTGTTTCCCAGCAGAAGCTCCTCTTACCATGTGGAGAGACTTTTACTGAACTCCTCCTTGCAGAATTCCTCTAGTCTCTCTTTCAGATCAGAGAGAGATTTCCTCACTCCATCAAATGAGGGATGTTGATGGACAGTGATGCTGGAGGAGTCCTCACACCCAGAAGAGACACTCAGAGACTGGAAACTCTACAGAGAGAAAACAGAATGGAGAAATAAAAGGGAATGTGAGTATCTCAGGTCATAGACAGAAACGTGCCATTTCTGACAAGTAGATTCACTGTAACTTTTATAGAGATCCACTGTAGAGCCTCTCTGAGGAGCAGGTTCCTCTGTAGGTGAGTGATGGTTACCTGGAGGAAATGGATGTGATCCTCTGTGACTGAAAGCTGCTCCAGCTCAGTGTTTCTCCTCTTTAGATCATCAATCTCCTGCTGCAGGTTCTCCAGGAGTTCTTCAGTTTGTCTCAGCTGGTTCTTCTCCTGAGTTCTGATCAGCTCTGTTACCTCAGAGCGCTTTTTCTCAATGGAGCGGATCAGCTCAGTAAAGATCCTCTCACTGTCCTCCACTGCTGCCTGTGCAGAGCGCTGTTAGGACACAGACACACAAGATGGAGCTCCATTTAAACACCAGCTATCATTCACTCTCTCACTGGGACTCTAGATGACTGACTGTCCACATTGTGGCTGTGTAGGATCCCAAAGTGTCCAACACTGGACTCCTCACTGTCTGACTGGAGGAGAGTCTGAGTGAGCTGTGAAATAGCTGCTCCAGCAGATCTCTGCCCAGTACTCACCTTAAGAGTGACCACAGCCTGTTTCAGCTCCTGCAGCTTCTTCTGTTTCTGCTGGAGTCTCTGCTGGGAATTTCCTCTGAACCTCCTTCAGCTGATTCTGAGGAGAAATCGTCTGAAATTATATGCCAATATAATGAGATAAATTTACTTAGTAAAATTACTTAACGAGTAAAAAATGTCAAGAAATAAGCTAGATAATTTTATAGTAAGTGCACATCCATCTCAAAATAAGAAATATTAGATAGATAGACTAGAATTAAGATGATTTCACTTGACCAGATAGTATTTTTTGCAGTGCTTGAGTTGGAGTTGCTAAATTGGCCCAAGGTGTGTGTGTGAAAGAATGGCTACGTTCACATTACCAGGTTGAAGTGGCACAAATCAGATTTTCTGCCCTAATGTGACTCAGATCTGATGTTTTCAGAGCTGTATGGACACACAAATCTGATCTTTTCAAATCCGACCTGAGCCACTTTCATATGTGGACCTAGATTGGATACGTATCCGATTCGTGGCCATGTGACCTTAATGTGACGCTCAGATCGGAATCCATGTGCTTTTGTTCCACTGCGCATGCGCTATTATTCAGCGTTACCATGGCAGCAGCGCCGAACAAGTTAAAGCCTGTAAACGGTGGAAAAGCAACTCATCTCACCTTTTTCTCCTTTCGTCTCGCTCCAATAATGAAGCTGAGAGCTGATCAGAGTTAATTATCTTCTCAGTGAAACTCATTAGTTTGTGCTGATGATGTAATTCATTCACGTGACGTTACTGAGTAGGATGTGGTCATGAGGGTCATTTCAGGACGCCAGTTCGTTCACATTAATGACAGACTTGAGTCACTTACCTAAAGGAGTGTGAACCATCGAGTCAGAGAGATCGGATTTGAGCAAAAAACATTGAATTTGAGTAACGAGGCTTGTAATGTGAAAATAGCTTATATGTTTGTGTGTCTGCCCTGTGATGGACAGGTGACCTGTCCAGGGTGTTTCCTGCCTTCCCCTCAATGAGCGCAGGGATAGGCTCCAGCACCCCTCTGCGATCCAGGAGGACAAGCGACTTAGAAAGTGTGGTGTGTATGTATGTATTTGTTAAATTCTGCACTGACTGTGCTTTTGAACAGGCTGGTTGTGATGGGCTTCAGTTGGTTCTGTGTTGTTAATTTTTAGGTTGCTGTGCTTGAGGCTGATAATATGCGCTGTCCAGCTGTTTTGTCCTATGTTTTTGTCATATGCTCCATTCTGTCTGCTGCTATGTCTGTCATTTTAAATGCATAACATATAAAACGTGTATATGTGCATATATAAAATAAGTGGGATGAATTACAGAAACTTTCTTTCTTTTGTCATAAAGTAAGATCTGACAAGGGTGTATTACAAAAACAAATCCTTTCTTAAGTTAGGAAACATTTTTCTCAAGTTAGGAAATCCTGAACTACTCAATGGAGGTTGATAACTGTTATATCTGTTACCAAGCAAACGGCAACATGTGCAGAGCTTAAACATAAACACATCATCAAAATAACATACATAATGTAAGTTAGTCCGCTGGTGCAATTAACTGAAAGTTGGAAAAAATTATTATTGTGACAGCGTCCTGCCATGTTTACAGTTAAAATGTTTCTTTAATATGGGCCCTAGCTACTAGTTTGGCACCTCATAGACCGGCTTGTAACACACACAGAGAGGTTTAGCAAGCTTAAGAGAAAGTTATTAGTGCTGAAGGAACTTTGTGTGCATTATTAGAATGGAGAAAACTAAATAAAATGTATGTAAACTATTACAGTTATGAGAAACTGCTAGCAAGATTGTGGAGGAACACAAAAAAGGAAAAAAACAACAGGGTGCTATTTTAACATCCAGGCAACCTGCTAGGCCACCTCCGACCACCAGGAGGGGCCGGAGAGTCAGGACGGAGTATTTAGGGCTGAGAAATAGCAGCTGTGGGCACCTTACTTAAGGGGCGCTCACACGCTGCTCAGTCTAGGGTTCATGTTGCCATGTGCACGTTGCTCTGATTCAGCTGGTAACCTCGGTTTGTGTCTCGGGTTTTGGGTCTTTGCTTTTCTCAAATTGTTCTCCAGTGTAAGTATATAAAAGCAACTCTTGAGTGTGTCTCACTCTCCATATTTAGGGAGAAGTGAGTGTGAGATTAAAGAAGGGAGTTTTTTTGGATTCAGTTTTTGGGAGCTCTTAGTTTGGGTCATACGTTTAAGTCTTTAGTTCGCACAGCCATTATCCCCTTTAGGGGCACGCTGCATAGCATGTTAGCCTACCAACAGGGTGATTGAGGGTTTGATCCCCCACTGTGATCAATTACTTTCCTTGTTTACCGCGTTGCCCGTTTAATTTGTTCCTTCTCTAGTTTGTTTTCCCGGCTCTTAGCCCCGTTTGTTTCTTTTCTGAGTTGCACCTTTCTCTCGACCTCAGTCGCTCTACACTTGAAGCCATCCTCTAGTATCCGCCAGGTGGTTCGTCCTGTAGCGCTCCTGATCATTAACATAAGGGTCCCAAGTTCGATCCTCACTTAGGCTGAACCCCTTGGAGCGTTGCAAATATTAAAGAGTGGAACTTCAGCATCAGTGATACTGTGTGAACAGGGCCAAGCAGCAGTTTGAGACTGAGCAACTGTACTACTGTGGTAAATAAATATGTTGCCCTTCCAGAGGGCAAAACACTGTTTCCCCGCTTGCTGAGCTCTTGCTTTCCTCTTCATTTGACCATTGCAACCATGGGAGATTCCATCACTCACAACGTAAAGTTGCAGTTCAATCTTGTTCTAACATGTAGTGCAAGCATTACAAAGCTGTAAACCTGCTGGAAGATGCAGGCAGGGTGGCCAAAAGTTTGGTAACTAATCTGAACTGGTTTTTATCAATATTGAGTAACGATAAATTGATTTGATATCCACAAAACTTACCCACAACACTTATTTTCATAATCAGCCCCTTAATTAACTAAAGATTATACTGATTTTAGATCATTACCTTGAATTGATTCTAAAAGATTTGAAAATCATACCTGTTTCTCGGTTCTCTCTGCTGCAGCTGCAGCTATATTATGGTCTTTGTGTTCATGCATCATACACAAATAACAGATGCAGCTTTGGTCAGTACGGCAGTAGATCTTGACCACTTCAGCATGTTGAGGGCAGATCTTCTCCTGCAGTCGTGAGCAAGCTTTGACCAGCTTGTGCTTTTTCAAGCCAGGAACATCATAGTGAGGTTTAAGATGAGCTTCACAAAAGGAGGCCAGACACGTCAGACAGGACTTGGCGGCTTTGAGTTTCCTCCCAGTGCAGAAATCACACTCCACATCTCCAGGTCCAGCGTAACAGTGAGCAGGAGGAGCAGCTTGGAGTTCTGTCTTCTTCACTTTCTCCACCACTTCAGCCAGCATGTTGTTTCTGCGTAGAACAGGCCTCGGAGTGAAGGTCTCTCTGCACTGGGGGCAGCTGTAGACCCCTCTCTGATCCTCTTGATCCCAGTGTCTGTTAATACACACCATACAGTAACAGTGTCCACAGTGAATAGTCACTGGATCCTTCAGCAGATCCAGACAGACTGGACAGCTGAACTGGTCCTGATCGACTGAAATACTGGCCTCTGCCATTTTCCTGCACTCGAAGACAGAGAGAGAGAGCAGAACTCTGAGATCAGTTTCACTTCTTTGATTTGAGTAGGAGTGCCTTCCTTCCTGAGTGGCTCAGAGGAATGTTTTCTTTCTGGCTAGTTTAATCTTGGACTTGTGACCACACACTGTACATGTACAATGTATAAATAACTTTATAAATAAATAGTTTGTTTGTGGACATGCAATTTGCGTATGTCTTGCCTGGGTGCACATCCAGCAGTAATTAAGAGCCTTGTCTTCTTCAAGACATTAGCTTATAAAAGATAGATAGATAGATAGATAGATAGACACATAGATAGATAGATAGATAGATAGATAGATAGAACATAGATAGATAGGTAGATAGATAGTTGTTCTGTGTAGCATTTCACAGTTACATAATTTAAATCTACAGCTAATCTAAATGTTTAGAAATGTACAATTTTCTCCTGCATCTGCATTTTTTAAACTATCCCAATTTGGCAGAAATACTGCAGACCTGGCAACCCTGATGGGAGTGTGAACAATGTATTATCCATCTCTTATGTAGGTGCAGGTGCTCTGCCCTGATCAGAACTTGTTTGTTTTAGTCAGGGAACATAACTGAACCATAATCCACTGAAATGATATGTTCTAAGCTGTACTGACTCCACACACCCCGTCTCGTCTCCAGGCCTTTATTTTACTGTTCTGTTTAAAACATTCGGTTATGAAAAGGTACAAATACGAACTTTTCACCTGGAGAAACTTATTTAAGGTTCACAATCAGACCTTAAAACCACTGTTGCACCTTTGAGGGAACATTTACACTGTTTGTACCTTGATGAACGAAAAATGTACCTGAACAGAACCTTTATTTCTAACAGTGCAGAAGTTCAGAATGTTATCCAGCCTTGTTGGAATATTTACACACTGGGCAGGAGAGTATCTGATATTCACCTGACAAACACTGGTCCTTCAAGGTATCCGGCTAGCGTGTTTTTAGCCAATTGTTGCTACCTGTGCTGCTACTTTGTTGTCAGCATTTAGTGGAACATAAACACAGCTCACAACAATAGTAGGAAGTCCTTTCGGAAGCTGAGAGGACAGAGGGCGAGGGTCAGCACTTCCAGGTTTGGGAATTGGGATTTTTATGTTGGTACTCCATGTGTTATTTACATACTCTTATGAAAAATGACAAATACTGGGGCCTAATCTCAGCCTCAGAGGCTCCTCCCACACAGAAACAGTGTGTCTTACCTCCCACACTAAACTGGGATTATGTTATGTTACAGTTGGTGTCTGATTGGTTATCCGCACATCAGTGTATACACACTTCCATGCAGTGTTTTTCATTGTTTAAATGGGAAAATGTTTTATCTTTCAGGCCTCTGCCTGACAAAGTAGGCAGTTTTTGGGCACATTATGCAGGAAAAGCAACAGACTCTCTGCTGACTAATTGAGACCCAATGTGAAAAAATTAAAATAATTTAAAACGTGATACCTGGTTAAATAATTAAACAGTGAACCTGAATATTTGAATTGATTTATAATATATTTTAAGTAATGACTAAAATATACATTTTTGAATTTTCTCTTATTATCTCAACACATTTCCAGCCATTTGTGCCACATAACATCTTGTTTTAGTTAATTTTATTTATAATTTCAAAAACTCTAACGTCAAAAGAGTCAAGTCATTAAAGGGGAATTCCACCAATTTTACTAAATGTCCACCTAATTCAGTGGGTGAAACGTATACAATGTCAGGGTGGTTTGAGGCAAAATGATCATAATAAAGTAATAACTTTCTGTGGTGTAGCTTATAGAGGCCTTAAACTCTTCAGACGTCTGGTTCCTATCACTACAGCTGTGAACAATTCCGACTTACTAAGTTTCTCTAAAATTAAACATTTTGCACCAAACTACTCTGATTGATTTTGTTTTACATCTCACCCATTTAATTATGCAGATATTTAGAAAAATTAAGATTGGTATATGTGAATGATCTCTGCTCTGATTGGCTGTCCTGTATTGTGCCTCATTCAAAAAGCAGCCCAGGCTGAAACACTCCTTATAACTTCAGGCGGAACTAAACTGCTGTAAGCTGAATATATTTGCATCACAAAAACATTTTCCATATATGGACTGTATGGACTGGTGAGTGAACGGTACAGTTTGAAACATAAGCAATGTTAAATATTATATCAAACTGTTTTTCTTGCTTTTTTTTTAATAAAAGTTGTTTTTCAATGATACGGGCCATTTAATGTGTATCTGAAACTGATCTGTGAACTGATGGATTTGTGAAGAGTTCTAAATTCAGTGGCTATTCATCCACAGGTCTGGTCAAATCGACTTTGATCATGTGGGTGGTCGTAGTCTCCCCTCCTCTCAGTCCAGCCAGGTAGACCTGGGGTTTGGGGACGTTGCTCTGACCGTCCCTCTTCGTCTGGCAGGCGGCATCTCTGGGGAGGAACGTCTGGGTGCTGTTGTGCCTCCTCATGTGGCTCAGGTTGGTCTGCATCGAGCGGGTCACTTTACTGCGCAGGTTTGCCTGAAGCACATTCAACAAGATAACGTACTGCGTTAAACAGTCTTGCGCCAATAAAAAAAAAGTACAACCCCATTTCCAAAAAAGTTGGGACGATGTGCAAAATGTAAATAAAAACAAAATGCGATAATGTGCAAATCATTTAAACCCTATATTTCATTGAAAGTAGTCCAAAGACAACATATCAATTGTTGAAACTGAGAAATTTTGAATTTAATGCCAGCAACACGTTCCAAAAAAGTTGGGATGGGGGGCCTGTTTACCACTGTTTTTCATCGCCTCTTCTTTTAACAAAACTTTGCAAGCGTTTGGGAACTGAGGAGACACTGCTGTAGTTTTGAAAGTAAAATGTTTTCCCATTCTTACTTCACATAGGATTTCAGCTGCTCAACAGTTCGGGGTCTCCTTTGTCATATTTTATATTTCATAATGCACCAAATGTTTTCAGTGGTGACAGGTCTGGACTGCAGGCAGGTCAGTTTAGCACCTGGACGGAGCAATGCTGCTGTAATACGTGCAGAATGTGGTTTGACATTGTCTTGCTGAAATAATCAAGGCCTTCCCTGAAAAAGACGTCGTCTGGATGGCAGCATTTCTTGCTTCAAAACATGTACATATCGTTCAGCATTAATGGTGCCTTCACAGATGGGCAGGTCACTCATGCCATGTGCACTAATGCCCCCCTATACCATCATGAATACTGGTTTTTGAACTGTGCACTGATAACAAGCTGAGTGGTCTTTAGCCTGGAGGACACAGTGTCCATGATTTCCAAAAAGAATTTCAAATGTTGATTCGTTGGACAACAGGACACTTTTCCACTTCATCTCAGTCTGTTTTAAAAGAGCTCAGGCCCAGAGAAGGTGGCAGCATTTCTGGATCTTGTTCATATGTGTTTTTTTCTTTGCGTTTTAGAGTTTTAATTAGCATTTGTAGATGCAACAACAAACTGTTTTCACAGACAGTGTTTTTCAGAAGTGTTTCTGAGCCCATGCAGTGATTTCCACTACAGAATCATGTCTGTTTTTCATGCATTGCTGCCTCAGGGCCCAAAGATCACAGCACTGGTTTTTGGCCTTGTCCCTTACATACAGAGATTTCTCCACATTCTCTGAATCTTTTAATGATATTATGTACTGTATATGATGAAAAGCAGAAGTTCTTTGCTATTTTACATTGAGAAACGTTATTCTTGAATTGTTGCACTATTTGCTTGTGCAGTCTTTCACAGAGTGGTGAACCCTCATCATCTTTACTTCTGAAAGACTCCGCCTCTCTGAGATACTCTTTTTATAGCAAATCATGTTACTGACCTGTTGCCAATCAACCACCAGGTGTTTTTTTTAGTAGTACACAACTTTACCAGCCTGCTCCCATCCAAACCTTTTTGGAACGTATTGTTGGCATCAAATTCAAAATGGGTAAATATTTTTCAAAAAAACAATAAAGTTTCTCAGTTTCAACACTTGTTGTCTTTGTACCATTTTCAATGAAATATAGGATTTAAATGATTTGCACATCATTGCATTTTGTTTTTCTTTACATTTTGCACATTGTCCCAACTTTTTTGGAAATGGGGTTGTAAATAATATGTTGAAATATGCATAAAATTACTAATATTGAAAAATAATAGTGTAATGACTAGCGGAGTCAACATGTTGCTAACAAAACAGCACTGATGCGCATCTTGGCACAAAGATGATTCCTAAATGGCAGAGCGAGCATCACAGTGAACACTCTCTCTCCCAGTTAAGACTACACAAAATTGTTTGAACCGTGAATTATTTGAGTCTTCAGATAAATGGATGCAGACTGAGATGATTACCAGTTTGATGGCTTTCCTCCTGAGCTCCCACTCATTCCACTCGTAAGACTTGACGATGTTGCTCTCCAGTATGTGTGTGTCAGTCTGTGTGCTGCTATCACTTTTAGTGATGGGCTTCACCAGCAGCCTCTCCCCTGACTGCATCTGAACAGACACAGAGGTTATATTCAGACACACTGAGCCTGTTTACATCTCGCACTAACAAGTGTTTTATATCTGGATTATATCTGGAAAAACTTTCGAGGAATTTCAGGTACACTTTTTACTAAAAAGCATCCCCAGTGTGACCAGATGAGCTCTGATTTTACTTTATATGCATTAAAAACACACCAGCACATACGCTGTTTCCATTTTACTTTTGTTTACTCTTTTCCCTGTTGTGATACGGGTGGACAAGCTTGGCTTGGACGCTTTCATCGGCCTGGAGTGCATGAAGGCTCTCAGTTTCTCCATCTTTCTCTGTTTTATTGTTTAACACTCAACTTTTTTATTTTGTTTGAATGCTGGAACACTGAGGTGTTTGTTTATTGGTGTTGCCATATAAATGTACACCGATCAGGCATAACATTATGACCACCTCCTTGTTTCTACGCTCATTGTCCATTTTATCAGCTCCACTTACTATATAGGTGCACTTTGTAGTTCTACAGTTACAGACTGTAGTCCATCTGTTTCTCTGCATACTTTGTTAGCCCCCTTTTTACCCTGTTCTTCAGGGGTCAGGACCCCCATGGACCTTAAAAGAGCAGGTACTATTTGGGTGGTGGATCATTCTCAGTACTGCAGTAACACTGACGTGGTGGTGGTGTGTTAGTGTGTGTTGTGCTGGTCTGAGTGGATCAGACACAGCAGTGCTGCTGGAGTTTTTAAACACCTCAGTGTCACTGCTGGACTGAGAATAGTCCACTAACCAAAAATATCCAGCCAACAGCGTCCTGTGGGCAGCGTCCTGTGGGCAGCGTCCTGTGACCACTGATGAAGGACTAGAGGATGACCAACACAAACTGTGCAGCAGCAGATGAGCTATCATCTCTGACTTTGCATCTACAAGGTGGACTGACAAGGTAGGAGTGTCTAATAGAGTGGACAGTGAGTGGACAGTGTTTAAAAACTCACTTTTGGAGAACTGGAACGTTCTGAACTCTGAAGATGTGCAGGTTATAAGGATCCAGTCCACCTATCTAGCTAATCCTCATAGTGTTTTCTGGAGAGGTTCAGAGTATGAACCATAACAGTATCTTACAGCCGTCTCTAATCATATTAGAAGCTTATTTGTATTATTTACCCCCACAACCCAGAAGGATAAGCGGTTTAGACAATGTGTGAGTGTATTATTTGCTTTTTCGTGTGGAAGTGGGTAGAAATCACGCAGTAACTGTACCTGGGAGTAGGGAGTGACGCTGGCAAACTGCTGATGGAGCTCGAGCAGCTGGATCAGCTCTGGAGATTTCTTCGCTGTCTCTGCCACAAACTCAATATACTCATCAGCCTGGGAGGCAAATTCATACGCAGCCTGTCTGGAGCTGAAGCTGTAGTACTTCTCCTTGTGTTTCAGGACTCCGATGTTTGGGTTGCCTTTGGAGAGAAAGAGCAGAGAATAAAAGAAGCTCCATAAGCAGATTTTCAGTTATGGCTACATTCTGTACACATCTGCACTGAATCTGAGTAAAACCAGCCTTCATTCACCAAATCTCACGTTATGGAATCATATCTCATGTTAAACATGTTAACAGTACTAGGCCAGAGGTCGGCAACGTGCGGCTCTTTTACTGCCCTGTTGTGGCTCCACAGCAGAATCAGATGTGGAAGTAAAAATAAAATAATCCTCCTTTACAGTAAAATAAAGCTCTGCTGATCGTTCAACACAGTTTAACAATAAATGGTCTTAAACTCTGGAGTTAATGTAGAACTGCTGATTCACCCTTTAACCCTGAAGATCAGCACAGACTGCTGGTCACCATAGCAACACAGACAACAGTCTCACCTAGCTAGTAGCTACGAAACGGCAAAGAGAGAGATTTAAGATGAACATCGATAATTTGGAGACGAATGGACCTATTAGTGTTTATAATCACTCCAGCTGGTTTCCTGATACGTTTAATCTACAATGAGAAACTGACAAACACTGAAAAGTTGTGAAACTGAATCAAGTTCTTGTTCAAATTTTCCTGTTCCACCTTAAATAATACCGCAGTTATATTCTGGTGCCTCTGGTGACATTATACAAGAAACTGTTCTACTTTTGTGGAAATGTATTGTTAAATATTATTTTTTCTTTATTTGCTTTTATTAACTTTTATTAACTTTTCTTGAAACTTCTTACTGTTTCTTTGCCTTTTGTGTGAATCTCGTTTGCATTTTGTATGTCTCTGTTGTGTGGTATGTGGGGGCTGTGGAGTCTGTTTAGTCACTCCATCTGTGTGTAACGTCCCGGCCTCCTGCTAGGCCACATCCAACCACTAGGAGGAGTCAGAGAATAGGGACGAGCTGCCATGTGCAGAGTTTATGCTGCCATGTGCACGACTCTCATCTGAGTGGGTAAATAGTATTCTCTCGGGTCTCGAGTTTTTGTTGAACTTTGGGTTTTCTCTCCCCCCAGTTGTTTTCATTGTGTAAGTAGAATAGAATAGAATAGAATAGAATAGAATTCAGAACCATTAGCCAACTGTGTTTGCACACAGAGGAATTAGACCTCTGCATTTAACCCATTCGTGCACCCACATACATGCACACTAGTGAACACACACACTAGGGGGCAGTGAGCACACTTGCCCAGAACGGTGGGCAGCCCTATCCACAGCGCCCGGGGAGCAGCTGGAGGTTAGATGCCTTGCTTAGGGGCACTTCAGTCACGTACTGTCCAGTCACAAGGCTGGTTCCCTTAACCTCCAGCCCACGACTGCAGTCAGACAGTATAAAATACAAACAAACAAAAAACCTGAGTGTCCTTTTCTGTTTACTGCTTTCCTGCTTAGTTTCCAGAAACTCATTAGTTTGAAGACGCTGCTCTGGCATTTCTTGTGTTCAGCATCAACTCTTCTGCGAGACAGATGTGGAAATTAATAGCTCTTCTGTAAGTAGGTGTGTGACTGGCACTGTATGCTCAATGTGACTGAATTTAAAACTCTTAATTATGAAAAAAGCCACCTGCTGCATCACTATTGGTGCCTAATAATCACACTGCTGTGTAAAAAGCTTGCATGTCCACCTGGCAGTAAAAGGCCGTTCTTCTTTATCAGCGTGTGTCCACACGCGCCCCTGTACTGCAGCGGGAGCTTATCGAAGTTGGCTGTGGTCTCAGGCAGAAACCATTCACAGGACTTCATCTCTGCTGGATCAACCCGTTCCTCTGACAAACAAACAAATAAACAAACAAGCCAAACAACAAAAGTAAGATTATGAATATTTCCATGCAGTTTAATAACAGGTTATTTATATAATGCACGGTATGCATTATATAAGCATGTAAGCATTTTATGGAATGTTTTGTTTTGATGTCTTTTACATTAGATGTATAATTATGTGTTACTATGGGTGGATACAGTATGTACAGTATGTACAGCACAACAATGTGGGTCTGTTTATAATGTGTATAATGCTGCTTTGGGACTGTATGTATTTATTGCAGTACAGTGCAAAAGTTATAAGAAGGAATGAACATTGTTTACAACTATTTACTTCAGCAGTAAATGTGTTTTAGCCAGTAAGATTGGAGTAGATATAAATAAACATAAATATGGCAAAGCATAATATGAATGTGTTGTTTTCAGTAAAGTTATTGATAGATTAGAATAGTGCAGTTAGAAGAACACAGGTTTGGTTTGATTTCTGACTTTTTTCTGCACTGCAGTCCAGTTGTCTCTGATGCTTAACACGGTACTATATGTATGTATCTATCCATCAGGAAAACAGAACAGAAATAATATTTTAATAATCTTTGAAGCAGGATAATGTATTTAAACGGGGATTTACACCAATTTTAGAGTCATTCAGAGTGGTTTGGGTGTGAAATAGTTAATTGTAGAGGCTCAATATAGCCATTTTGTTTACTATCCAAAACCACCTACATGTGTCTTCTGAGCTTTTACATGAAATTTTGATGGTATAATAATGATAAATCTGAAAATATAAGGGACTAATTTGCCTTTAAAACTGCTGTTAAACAACATCTCAGTCATCAGGCAGTTCATTCATAACCATTTCATCTAAGAACTTTCTGTGAGGGAGGTTTTAGAGGTGGACGTCTGGTTCCTATCACCACCACTGTGAACAATTCTGACTCTAAGTTTCTCTAGAACAGAGCGTTTCACACCAAACCACTCTGAACGACTCTGTTTACATCTTAACCATTTAATCATGCAGAAATTGTGTAAATTCTCCTTTAAAGCAGCTTCTCTTTACTTCTCTTTCTCTGCTTGTGTCTCTAAGAAGTAATTAACATGCAGGCCAGTGGCTTTGCAGGCCCTTAGCTGCTGCTAGCCATCTCATTTCCAGTTACTTCTCTATGAGGTCAGAGACCCTGGGGGGGTTGAAGCGTAGTTTTTTTGTAAGGTGTCAGATTAAAGCCTTCAGCTAATTGTAACCTCAGAGCAGTGTTCAGAGCATTTATGTGTACCTGCACTCTCAGCAACTCTCTCCAGGTCTGTTTTGATGGTCACACCCCCCAACAGCTGCTCCAGCTGACCAGCTGCCAGCAAATGGGACTGAGCTGACAGGAACGGCCTCAGACTGGTCACCATGTTACTGAGCATGCTCAGTAGGAGCATCTCATCCTGCAGCCCCGCCCACAGCTTCGCCAGCGTTGTGAAATGAGGCTGATGGGAAGGATGGCAGACATTAATTGATATATTTATTAGTAATAGATATAAAATACAAGCAAACTATATACTATACTTAAAAAAGCAGAGCAATGATGGCCAAATTCAGTTAGAGCAGAACGCTGGTGCACCAAATAAGCAGACTGAGACCCCCTAAGCAGGTCAGTCTCGGTTCGCTTCATAACTCTGGTGTGGTTTGTTTGAAACAGAATGCTACACAGACCAAAGACGACTAAACGGACCAAAGGAACCGAACTACGAGTATAACCGCACCCTCATTTCCAGTGAGAAGCTTTATTTTTCATATTTTCCTTCATACTTTGTCACTGATATGACAGATATGAGAGGATATTTCCTTCTTGTGACAAAATTTTTAGAAAACAAAATATTGGTCAGTGTAAAAAAAATCCTCATCCTGGATTGAATGTAGTGCATCACTTTCTTTTACTATCAGTGAACAGACAAAACACAATTTTATGTTTAATGCACCTCTTTTCACCATATTACTAAAAATAAGATTTTGGGTATGTGCAAGAGGAGAGGAGCCTCCAGATATGCATGAATTACAACAAATAATGCAATATAACAGAGATTCTATACTTGTTCAAAACCAGACAAAGTTTAGATTTCAGAAAACAGACACTTACAAACACTTGTGAGGTGGGTACGGCAGTTTTGGAGTGAACTGTGGCCTTCAACACCCTCATCCTGGCTGTGAGCTCAGTTTGTAAAATCTCCACTTGCTTTGCACACAGGATCACATCAGCCTGGTGGAGACATACACGCCATACATGCATATTTAGGCCCAGTCCCATTTCTTATTTTTACCCCTACCCCTTGTTTTCGAGTGTCTCCTTGCTCCCTTGGAACTGAGTTACAGGGGTAGTGGTTGAAATCTTCCCTCTGAAATGGGACCCTCTAATAAAAAGAGCATCACTTCATTAACAGCTACCAGCGCTGCTCTGTAGGCGACCCTGCCAGTCTGCAGTGACAGCAGAGGAGGGTAAAGTTCAGCTCCTCACTGCTGGGCTTTAGATACATTTAGGGCACTATATGCCTTCAAAGAGGGGGGGCAATTATTTATTATCACCCACCCCTAATTCTTCAGTGATATGAAGCTGAAGTCAGATATTCACCAGCTTCTTGTTCGAATTCTTCCAATCCACCTTAAATGGTGCAGCAGTTACATTCTGGCGCTTCAGGCGTCGGAACTGCTGCACCATTTAAGGTGGAACAGGAAATTTAGCTGCTAGCTACCGAGACATTAGCAAACTACAAGTGATTTTTTATGCCTGTTATGAAGAAAAGGACCATAATATACTGAAACAGCATTAAACTAAGATAATACGATGGTTATTGTAATTGTTAACAGAAAAAAATCTCATGTTTGTGGGTTTCTTTGGTCTCTTGTTCTCCATCTTGAAAAACCTTCGTTTGGAGGGTCAAGTAGCTCTAACACTTTGCTGTCCCCCTCTATTGCAACTAGAATCAGGACACCCCACCCCTAGACGTGACCACACAAAATAGAGGAGTATGGTTAAGTGGTATGGGCGAGAGGTGAAATGGGATTGGGCCTTAGTCTCCTACTGTACAGTTATCCCTTAAAATGTGTAACATCGTACACTGTACATAACTCAAGCTACGAGCACAGGTTTCAGTTACGTGTGGACTAGTAATCAGGACCATTTCTATTACAGTGGTTGTGCAATTGCATGCTTTGGTCTGGTATACAGTATGCAGGCACTCTGCTAGTGAGCTGTGTTGGGCATGAAACAATCAGATTTGCTCATCTGTCTGGTGATGTGGTGTTGGTCTCACCAGTATGAGTTTGAGGAAGGCTTCATGCTGGCGTACGTTGTAGAGAGCCTGTTTAAGCAGGTCAGGATGCACTGCACCGTCAGAGAAGCTCTCCAGCAGGGCGGTGTACTGCCAGGCTAACCTCTGGGTCCCTTCCAGTTCACTTTCTATCTCTCTGCTAGCGGCAGGCAGAGTCTCGTTGAGGATGGCAGGCACTACACATGTGACAAGATGTTGGTTTCAGATGGTTGTGAGAAGATTGTTTTGGATTATTTGGTTCAAACTTTTAAAAGATGGATTCCACCCTATTTTCCAAAATTTGTATTTGTATAGTTGAGAATTCTCTCTGTTATTTAGAATGGTTTAATGTGAAATGGTTAACTGTAGACAAACTTCTGGTGGTGATGAAATATACCCAATTTTTTACTATCCAAAACCACCAGTGAACCTACAGTTAGAGTAGAGTTGTTTAAAGTAATGCTTACAGTGGTAAATCTGTAGTTTTCTTTGCAAACTATTTTTTCTTTAAAAAACTCTGCATGTACATCTCCACCATAAAGGCATATTAAAATAATTTTACACTTCTCAAAACTATCATAAAACAATGTTCTGGGCAACTTATTTATATAACTTTCTGTGAGGGAGCTTTTAGAGGTGGACGTCTGGTTCCTATCACCACCACTGTGAACAATTCTGACTCAGTTGGTTTCCTTAGAATGGAGCATCGGCTTTATTTACATCTTAAGCATTTAATTGTGCGGAAAAGTAGAAATATCTGTACAGTTCACCTTTAAGCTTTTATTTCTGTTTTCTTTCTTTTCTCTGTCCAGCAGATGGTGCTGGTAAGCATGTATAGTTAGCTTGCTGGTAATGACCTTTCAGCAGACGATTGTGAGTGATATAACTCTATTTGCATTATATTTTATATATAGCAACTCCAAACCTCCAACCCCGCCTGACCAAATATCCAACTAATATTTGCCTTCATAGCTAAAGTTAGTCGCTAATGGAAATCAGAACTGAAGAAGGATGGAAGTAAAGGCTCATTTCTACTACCTTTACATACAAAAAGGAACACATCCATTTTTAAACAATGAAACCATCACTGCCCACATACTTCCATGCGCCCTTTAAGTTGGCATGGATGTTAAGCAGCACATCCACTGTTCCTGACAACAACAGATGATGATGAAGGTTGTAATAATGTACCAACTACGAAAAAGATGAAAGAGGCCCCAGTGTAGACTGTGGTGTCTGTGTGAGGTCATTAAATACTTGGTGACATGTGGAAGGAGCGCTCTTTTCACTTATATTGCCAAGGAGTGTGTTTACAAGCACTCAATAATCCAATCATAATCAGATTTCTCAGTACATGTAAACTCTTACTCTGACTTCTTTCAGATTTCTCCATCTGTAAATGTCCAAAACCAGACGGCGGTACTGGAAATAAGTGAGCAGCGTTGCCACTGGAGCAACACTGAAACCAACTACATGCCTGATGAAATTAAGGATTTAAATATTCTTTATCTTCTGATGATGTTTGTTCATATTTTCAGATAAAGTGGTCCGATGTGTTTTTGTTTTTTTTTCAAAGCTGCGGTATGAAGTTTGAGTTTTACATTACGTTCACGTCACGACTTCATCTATAAGTTTATTGGCTGGTTGTAAAGCAGAAATCGGATTACTGTCTGACTCATGTAGACCTGAAGTTTCCCCATTATCTGATTACTCAAGTGCATGTAAACGCGCTGATTGGATTACTGACAAAATCTGATTTTTTGCAGTTATCGGATTATTAAGTGCTGGTAAACACACTAAATGAGCGATATTTGGCACTGTGTATCACGTGAACTATTGCCCCCCCCCACAGCTTCCGGTGGTGCTGCTCCACTTCGTCCGTATCCGTAAGCTTTTGGAGAACGTGCACAAATACAGACGAAACGAACGCAGAGTACGAACGGAATCGTGTCCGTGTCCGTGTTAAAGGATGAGCCTAAATGAGCCTTAAGACTGACTCACGGTCCTCGATGCCCTCTCCTCCTTTGCCGCTGTCCTTGTTGAAGAGTTGAATCCCTGTGATGATCATGGTGAGCTCGTTCAGCTGCTGCTCTTTGTCCCGTTTGAGCAGAGACATGAAGGTGGCCAGCTCTGTCTGCGGGAACACACTCTGCAGGGCAGCTATAAAACACACACACAGTCATGTATTATAACCTGTCAGGCTCTAAGGAAACAACTGTGGGTCCACAAATCAATGCCTCTCTCTCATGACTAAAGAACTCATACAATGTGTTGTACTTGCAGAATAATTTGTAGTAGGTTAAAGCTAACAGCTAACAGACAACTGTGCTGGCTCGCACTGTTCTAAGTGATGGGGGAGAGAGAACCATCTAGTAGCTGTTAATGAAGTAATGTTCTTTTTTTTTGAGGGTCTCATTTCGTAGAGAAGATTTTAACCACTACCCCTTGTAACTCAGTTCCAAGGGGCAAGTTAACACTCAAAGACGAGGGGTTAGGGTTTAAATAAGAAATGTCATTGGACCTAAATTTCAGCCGATGTGCTCACCTGTGGCCTCTCGTACGGTGGAGATGTCGGTGGCCGAGCCGAGGCCGGAGCACAGAATCACGTAGCTCACTATCTTGCGGTAAAGGCTCTCCAGGTCATCTCGGGTCTTGGCCCGGCTGTCCGTGATCTCGCGGCACACGGGGAGCAGGCGAGCCTGCAGAACCTTCTGGTGCTCCTCTATAAACTCGCCTGATGAGAGGTGAACGGCTTTCAGACTAAACGTATTATTCCTGTATTTATATTCAGAGCGTTTTCCTTCTCATCTGCTTAAGCTGGGTTAGCAGTTCGAGAAGCAGCGATGAAAGCAGAATTAGCACTCAAAATATTAAAACTTTAACGTTTTCAAGAAATTGTTTTTTACCTGACGTCCAATTATGACATTTGTGTGGCTTTACGTAGCAAAAATGGTCATAATTCATTTCCACATTAGCGTTTTCCAACCTCTCTTAATCAGGCTGTTTCTGTTACTTTGCCTTTAAGGCTGATGTATGTGAATGAGCTCTGTCCTGATTGGCTGCCTTGTATTGTGCCTCATTCAGAAAGCAGTGCAGGCTGAAACACTTCCTATAACTTCAGCATGAGTGGGCAGGCCGTAGGCTAAACTGGTGGATATATGTAAATATGTAAATATATGTGCTGTTTTTTGTGACATCACAAAAACAATGAATTCAAAACAAGCTGTTTTCAGCTTAATTTCCACACATGGACTGTATCGAATTGTACATTTTGGAAATTTACCAGTGTTTATACACTCAATTAAACTGCTCTATGCACAAAAATGACAACACCTGTTGTAAAAAGCGCTATATAAATAAACTTTACTTACTTACTTACTTACTTACTTACAAAAATCAGGCTTCCATCACATACGCCCTTTAAGAAGAGCTGAGTGGCTGCAGACAGGAAGAGTTTACAGTCTGCAGCCACACAGCTCCCCTTAACAAAATAAATCAACACAACTGCACTTTTACCTCTACTTTCGATGCTCATGTGCTTCTGTATTTCTAATATTTTACTAAGCGTATTTCCACTTTTAATGAAGGACAGATATTTGGTACTTCGTCCACTTTCAATACAGAAGTGACAGAAAAAACGCAGCAAGGAAAATACAACTTACGGCGAGACGTGTAGTTCATGTCAAAGTACACCTGCATCTTAATGGTGTCCAAAGTAGGACTCGTCTGATCCAGCAGTCTGTCCACACACAGCTGAGACCAGAAACAATACACACTCTGCAGCACATTTGCTTCACTCCAATGATTTACCTGAATGAATTCATGATGAAAAAGGTGGTTCAGTCTAACAGAGGACTGATCAGAAAACTTACCTCTATAAGTTTTTGCACATCTTGCTTTGTAAGAGTCCTGTCAACATTGAAGAGATTCCTGGGGTCCAAAACAACAGCTTTCACCTAAAAGTAAGATGTGAAAACAAGTCGCCTCAAATATATATATGTACATATTTATGTATGTATGTGAATATACACCGATCAGGAATAGCATTATGACCACCTCCTTGTTTCTACGCTCATTGTCCATTTTATCAGCTCCACTTACTGTATAGGTGCACTTTGTAGTTCTACAGTTACAGACTGTAGTCCATCTGTTTCTCTGCATACTTTGTTAGCCCCCTTTTACCCTGTTCTTCAGTGGTCAGGACCCCCATGGACCCTCACAGAGCAGGTATTATTTGGGTGGTGGGTCATTCTCAGCACCGCAGTAACACTGACGTGGTGGTGGTGTGTTAGTGTGTGGTGCGCTGGTCTGAGTGGATCAGACACAGCAGTGCTGCTGGAGTTTTTAAACACCTCAGTGTCGCTGCTGGACTGGGAATAGTCCACCAACCAAAAATATGGAGTTATAAAACTTGGTTTGGTGTGAAGTGGTTCAGATGTCTTTACAGTGGTGGTGATAGGAACCAGGTGTCGCCATGACTATAACACAGATATAGACATTTTATTTACTATTCAGAACCACCGGTGAACCTACACAAGTCTTCTGAGTTTATATGGAAACTTGCTGATGGAAAAACAGTGGAAAATCTGAAAAAATATGTTTTCTTCTGGGACTTTCTCACCTCACAACACTCTGCATGTATCCATTTGTCAAGAATGTATAAAATAAATTGATAAAAATATATTTTAGGGCAAACACTTTATCAAAAAAACTGTCAAACAGTGTCTCAGTCATCAGGCAGTGAATTCATAACCATTTCATGCAGTAACTTTCTGTGAGGGAGCTTTTAGAGGAGGACCTCTGGTTCCTATCACCACCACTGTGAACAGTTCTGACTCTGTAAGTTTCTCTAGAACAGAGCGTTTCACACCAAACCACTCTGAACGACTCTGTTTACATCTTAACCATTTATTGATGTAGATTTTTTTGAAAAATCGGTGGAGCTCCCCTTTAATGTTTGTTATTTTTTTTAAACTGCTCGGGCAACAGATTGCATGTAAAGCAGGAAAACTGAAAATTAAACTGAAAACAGAGAGGAAGATGAAGTAATGAAGAGACTTTTTTGTAGTCATTTATAAAAACACTACGGAGAGAAACTCTTACCATAAACGCCACCAGTGTTTCAGACACGGTGTGTCCTTTGCTCGCGCACTGCTGGGCGATTTCACGGATTATGTTTTTAATAACGCTTTCGGCTTGAGCTCGAGACATATCTAAACTGCTAGTGGATGTCAGTAAACAGTAAATAATATACTGTAATATATAACTAGTAAACACAAATATCAGACCAGCCTCGGCGCTGCGTTACTCCACACGGCCCGCTAGGCGGAGCTACACTGTTACCATGGAAACGCAAACATTAGGCCGCTGTTGTAGCGCTGGAGTTTCATAAACGACCAGCAGAGGGAGCCACAGATACACATTCCTAGATGCCGCGTTGTCTGTTGTTCTCTATCTGAGACGATACGTCTGAGCGTCCGCCATGTTGGAGAGGTCAAGATCCTCTTGTGAACAAATTCTCTTGTATTGAGAGACGAAGAGTCTCAGGATTAAATCAGCCACAACCTCCTTATTACTCAACCGATTTTCACCACGTTTGTTTTGTTATAATCCTCAGACACAGATTAATCCAGGCTGCACGGATCTGCTCTCGGTAGCTTTTATTACTTTAATAACTGATCGAGCTAATTAGCCGTCCAGACCAGCAGGAAAGTATTCAGTCTGCACCTGACGCTAAAAACAGAGTTTAGCGCGAGAAACACAATCAGACACATCAGCAAATCCATCAGTGTGTGAATCACTTCTAATCTTAATACACATAGAAATAAAATAAACCCCCAAAACACAGTAAGAAGGACAAAGCTAAAGTTGGCTTCCTATTCGCCAGCTTCTCGTTCGAGGTTTCCCGTTCCACCTTAAATGGTGCAGCAGTCACTTTCTAATGCCTGAAGCTGCACCATTTAAGGTGGAACAGGAAAATTCGAACAAGAAGCTGGCGAATAAGAATCTGACTTCAGGTTCGTGTGAGAAGGTGCTAACGCTAATCTATTATGAATATCTACACGGATTAAGGAATGCTATAACTTACCGAGCTACAAAGCTTTAACCATCACTGTAAATAAATAACTACTACATAAAGTTTAGATCCTGAATAGACTATTAAATGAAATAAGCTTAATATAAAACCAGAGGAAAACACAATCACATCAACAGGTTCTCTGTGCCTCATTAACCACACGGCCATATCTACATAAACATCACACAGACATGAGTGTGGATCACTGCGTTCCCTCTGTTATATAATCCTATAACACTTTCTGAGTGCAATATTCTTGAAATAGTGTAATTTTGGACAGTATCTTTCTTAAACTGCCGCTCTGTGATGGTACTGAATGCAGTCCAGCAGCGATGTTGACCGCCCCAAAATGGCGGCGAAATCAGTTACAGGAGGTTCAAAGGAAACTCCAGCAGAAAGAGAAGAAGCTGCGGGAGCTGAAACAGGCTGTGGTCACTCTTAAGGTGAGTAGTGGGCAGAGATCTGCTGGAGCAGCTATTTCAGCTCAGACTCTCCTCCAGTCAGACAGTGAAGAGTCCAGTGTTGGACACTTTGGGATCCTACACAGCCGCAATGTGGACAGTCAGTCATCTAGAGTCCCAGTGAGAGAGTGAATGATAGCTGGTGTTTAAATGGAGCTCCATGTTGTCTGTCTGTGTCCTATGGAGTTAATTTTGTGCCAAAATGTTTGGGAGAAGATCCTGATGTTTGAGAGAGGAATGTTCCGGTCTGAGAGGACAGCGCCAAAGAACTTGTAAAGAGGAGAATTACCGCACTGCAATGTCTTTCGGTTTTCTCCAACGCTAGAGGGCGCTCCCGAGCGAGTCCAAAATGAACGGGTTCATATGGAGCATTTGAGCCAAATCATAGTTTATAAATGCTTAAACATTTTTAATGTAACAGAATTCATTCATACCCAGAACACAGAGCAGCATAAAACATTTTAACACTGCTGTTATATTTTTAAGAGCTTTTAAACTCGAGTTATAGAGTTTAAAACAGTGCCTCGTGTACGTTCATGACGTCAGTGAGCGAAAACAGCCAATGAGCTGCTCTGCTCGCCAATCAATCATCACGCTCTAGCAGTAAAGCCCGCCTTCTGCTGCCAAAAAGGCGTTTGCTGTAGAAAAAAGGGAATAAATAGGTGAGATTTATTAGTTTTTTAGTGAAAGCCATCCTCCTACTCTCTAAAATTAAAGGAATGTTCTGGTTCAGAGATTAAAAACTATTTTAACTTTTCGTTTTTAACCGTTGAGCTCCATTCATTGAGCACTCACTCGCGGGCGCCCTCTGCTGGTTAGCCATCCTGTTTTTGATATAACGGGGGGAATAAGGAGTGGCCAGGCTCCTCATAAACCGGCTCTGTCTCTGGACACAAACATTCAGACATTTTACAGCGAGCAGAGCTGAGACAGTGATGGCAAACCGAAGCTTTGTGAAGCTCTGAAGCTTTGAATCTGTCCTCCTAACTGTGTCAAAACATGGTTCATTACTCGAAGCTTCATGACACAGTGCACATTAGTGCCATCTGGTGGCCAAAACCTCAAAGTGCTTCGTGCATCTGGCGAACATCCGTTTTACAGCTTTTAAAACTGTGCTCGAGCGCATTACAGCCACGGTATTAAACTTAAAATAAACCAGTAAAACTAAATCGTTGTGCGCGTCTTCAGTATCTCACTGCTGATTTGGGTGCACACATCCGGGGTTTGACAGAAAACTGATGGATGAATTATGTCTTCGGTTACAGTACATAAAACAGTAATATATTAAAAATAATCTCTCTCTCTCTCTCTCTCTCTCTCTCTCTCTCTCTCTCTCTCTCTCTCTCTCTCTCTCTCTCTCTCTCTCTCTCTCTCTCTCTCTCTCTCTCTCTCTCTCTCTCTCTCTCTCTCTCTCTCTCTCCTCTCTCTCTCTCTCTCTCTCTCTCTCTCGAAGCCCCGGGCTTTGCTACTTTTGAATCTTTTCCCGAAGCAGTCACGTGGTCGTGTGCCGAAATGAAGCTTCGGGCGTCATTGGTCACGTGATCATTGTAGAACGAATCAGGCACCGACACAGTGATTCGAAGCATTTCGTGTCATTTTTTGGACCCGCCTCGCAGCTTCAGATTCAAGGCCGCCGTCACTTTATGTGAGAGTTGAGCTCGCGCTGCGGAGCTGAGAGCACGTGCGAGTTTCTGCAGGTGAAGAGCGCGGTTGGGGAAGTTGTCCGGTTTTGAGAGACAGCCGCAGTGCTGCGTGTGGAGTCTGAGAGGGACGCGCTGTTTGTGCTGATTTTCAGGTTTTGAACGAAACCAGAGTGTTTCTGTTGAGCAGATCCGAAGGTGTTTACCTGCCGCACCACGTGCTGACAAGAGCTGATCAGAACTCGGGAGGAGAACCAGCTGAGACAAACTGAAGAACTCCTGGAGAACCTGCAGCAGGAGATTGATGATCTAAAGAGGAGAAACACTGAGCTGGAGCAGCTTTCAGTCACAGAGGATCACATCCATTTCCTCCAGGTAACCATCACTCACCTACATGGGACTCTGGGACGTCCTGCATTGAACACATCTGCATTTTATTCTGATTTTGTTCTCAGCGTTTGTGTAATTGAAATGTATAAACAAACAAAGAAGTTGACTTTGATGCGCAGCTGTCATTTCAAGGGCACATATTATGGAAAACTAAATTCTTCAAAAAGTTGTTAAAGTTTCACTGTATTTTTTAGTTCGTTTCCAGAAACTAAACTTGTGTGCTGTCACAAAATAACATTTACAATTAAAAAAAAAAGAACTTATCACAATACTCGCATTAAAGGAGAAAGAGGAGAAAGGAGAGAACCAGGTTTTATTTCCTAAAAAGTTGGGACGCTGTGCAAAATGTGATTAAAAACAAAATGCATTGATGTGCAGATCATTTAAACCCTGTGTTTCATTGAAAATAGTACAGTGACAACAAATCAAATGTTGAAACTGAGAAATTTGATTGATTATTGAAAAATATTTGCTCATTTTGAATTTGATGCCAACAACACGTTCCAAAAAAGTTGGGACGGGGCCAACAGAAGACTGGTAAAGTTGTATAATGCTAACACCTGGTGGATAATTGGCAACAGGTCAGTAACATGGGTATAAAACTCCAGCAGCACTGCTGTGTCTGATCCACTCGGACCAGCACAACACACACTAACACACCACCACCACGTCAGTGTTACTGCAGTGCTGAGAATGATCCACCACCCAAATAATACCTGCTCTGTGAGGGTCCATGGGGGTCCTGACCACTGAAGAACAGGGTAAAAGGGGGCTAACAAAGTATCAGAGAAACAGATGGACTACAGTCTGTAACTGTAGAACTACAAAGTGCTCCTATATAGTAAGTGGAGCTGATAAAATGGACAATGAGCATAGAAACAAGGAGCTGGTCATAATGTTATGCCTGATCGGTATATTGGTTGCAAATGCAGGAAGGGGAAGAAAGAAATCTCTCTTTAAGTAAAAGAAATACATGTATTTCTATATGTAAATATATGTATATGTATAATGTATTGGAGTAAAAGTACTAACAAAGCAGGTGAAGGCTGAACCTTAAACATCTATTGTTCCTGATTGCCCACTCTCAGTCCATTCTCTAATTGATGGCTGTCGTTCAGTGGTTTCTTGGTCTAACTGAGGAAGAGGTTCTACAATGCTGTCTTCTACAAAGGAACCTTTTCACACTTCTGGACTGCAGCCAGACTCATCATAGTAGAGATAATGTTCTAACAGTGGAGGCGTTTACACTTAAAATGGATTATTCACTTTTTTGCCCTCTCTATAGATATTTACCTAATTTTTCCACAAAAGGTGGTTGTAATTTTTAGAGAGGAGCAAAGTGGACAAGGGATACATTAAAAGTAGGCTACTGATGCCTGTTGGAGCCGCAAGCATTATGAATTTAAAGAAGGTAAAAAAAACTGAAAATGAGAGACAATATGTAACATTACCTATAATTGCAATTTAGTGGGGTTCCTTTAGTTAGTATATGTATAGTACACTATAGTAAATGTTAATGACATTTGTGTTCAAACATTGAAACAGTTAAACAATTCCATGTCTTTTAGCTTATATAGGGACTACGGCCTGACATACTGGACACTGTACAGAACAGTATTAACGTTAGACGTGAGAAAATGTCCAGTTAGTTCATATAATGCGCCCAAAAACAATGGGGTGACAATAACTGACTATAATTTTAATCCCATCCTGCACAGCACTGACTATATTCTAGTAAACATTGATCAGCTAACATTAGCTCACAGCTGCATTCATAAACCACTGTAATGTTTTCCCTACTGTGATGACTTACGCTGCGTCGAATCCAGAATTGTGATGTTTGACGCCTACTTCAAAAAAAAATGCCACGTGTCATCAACTACTCAAGAAACTCATTTACTAGATCCTTTATACTTATATACAAAGAAATTGAGTGACTTTTGATGACATAATCACATGAACTCCTCAAACCTTTTTTCAGTCCAGCAATTATACTTCGCTCTGAATAATTCAGGAAGGGCACAGAGGAGACATTCAGATTAGTGTGGCCAGCTTGGCATACAGTAAATACCAAAAGGTCCATGTGCCTCTGTAGCTGAGACTGGAGGATGGCTAATTACTGGTTGACCAGTTTAAAGACCAGTCCTCCTTCATATACAAATCCTGCATTTGCAAAAGAGGGCGGTAAAACAGGCCAATTCCAAAATCCTAGACTGTTGCATAACAGTATTGACTCATTAATATTAATGCCCCCAAAACATACAGCAATAAAAATGGAGAACTGCGTGTAGAAATGTACCTTTCTAGGCTGTGAAGTGGATGTCTGCGCTTTTCATACCTTTCCTACGAATTCCAACTGTTAACTGGCGTGGTTGTTCAGCTTTAAACGAGGCTGAAGTTGGCTTCCTATTCGTCGGCTTCTTAAACAAATGTTCCGTTACACCTTTAACGCTACCGCTTTTATGTAGGCCTGAATGTACAGGCAGAGAGCTTGTAGAGAGGAGAATTCCCACTCTGCAATGTCTTCCAGGTTTCTCGAACACTAGAGGGCGCTCCTGAGGGAGTCCAAAATGAATGGGTTGATAGGGAGCATCATAGTTTATAAATGCTTAAATATTTTAATAAAAATCATTTATTTCCTGAACACTGAAAACATTTTAACACAATGTAATAAACACAAGTAAGTGCAATGTTTATTAGTAAGTTAGTCATTATTTTCTTTACAATGTTGGGTTCTAAAGTGTCTCTCTCTCTGAATAGACACATTTCCCAGAGGTCATTTTAGCTTGATGCCAGAGACACCATGCAAATGAGTCTCATCTTTTTTTGATGAGGTGGGGTTAAACCACACCAAAAGGGGGAGATGAAGGTAGAACATCAACCACCAGGCCACGACTGGATGTCCCTTCCCAGCATGAAGGCAGTGCCGCAGTTTGTGCTGCCGTCAGCAAACTTTAATAATCCGTATCTCTTTCACCCTCGTTCTTCTCTGGCTTCCTCTCTCTCCCTCTCAACCCTCCGAAGCCCCTCCTACTCAGTCTGGAGAAACGAAACTTATCTCAGAGTGCTGCCTACTCTCACTCTCTCTCTCTCTCTCTCTCTCTCTCTCTCCCTCTCTCTCTCTCTCAGTCTGCGAGTGCAGGAAAATGGCAGAGGCCAGTATTTCAGTAGATCAGGACCAGTTCAGCTGTCCAGTCTGTCTGGATCTGCTGAAGGATCCAGTGACTATTCACTGTGGACACAGTTTCTGTATGGTGTGTATTAATGGCTGCTGGGATCAGGAGGATCAGAGGGGGGTCTACAGCTGCCCCCGGTGCAGAGAGACCTTCACTCCGAGGCCTGTTCTACGCAGAAACAACATGATGGCTGAAATGTTGGAGAAAGTGAAGAAGACAGAACTCCAAGCTGCTCCTCCTGCTCACTGTTATGCTGGACGTGGAGATGTGGAGTGTGATTTCTGCACTGGGAGGAAACGCAAAGCCATCAAGTCCTGTTTGGCCTGCATGGTTTCTTTTTGCGGAACTCACGTTCAGTCTCACTATCAGTCTCCTGCGTTTAAGAAGCACAAGCTGGTCAAAGCCTCCACACGACTACAGGAGAAGATCTGCTCTCGACACGACAAACTGCTGGAGATCTACTGCCGTACTGACCAAAGCTGCATCTGTTGTTTGTGCGCGATGCATGAACACAAAGGCCACGAGACAGTTGTAGCTGCAGCAGAAAGAGCAAAGAAGCAGGTGAGAAACAAATCATTGAATCAGTTCTTGCTTATTCTGTTTCTATAAAATAAGTTGGGCTAGTCAGTGAATCACTGACTTTACTTAACATTAAAGCATCTCATTTTGCCTAGTGCTCATGTCATAGTCCCAAAACTAAATTCTGTGTAAAACAATGCAGCCCTTAAATGTTTCTGCCATTAATGCATAGTCTTAATTTATAAGTCTTTATTTTTAAATATTAATTCAATGTTTCTGCCCTCAGAATCAGCTGAAGAAGGTTCAGAAGAAATCCCGGCAGAGACTCCAGCAGAAAGAGAAGAAGCTGCGGGAGCTGAAACAGACTGTGGTCACTCTTAAGGTGAGTAGTGGGCAGAGATCTGCTGGAGCAGCTGTTTCACAGCTCACTCAGTCTCTCCTCCAGTCAGACCGTGAGGAGTCCAGTGTTGGACACTTTGGGATCCTACACAGCCACAATGTGGACAGTCAGTCATCTAGAGTCCCATTGAGAGAGTGAATGATAGCTGGTGTTTAAATGGAGCTCCATCTTGTGTGTCTGTGTCCTAACAGCGCTCTGCACAGGCAGCAGTGGAGGACAGTGAGAGGATCTTTACTGAGCTGATCCGCTCCATTGAGAAAAAGCGCTCTGAGGTAACAGAGCTGATTAGAACTCAGGAGAAGAACCAGCTGAGACAAACTGAAGAACTCCTGGAGAACCTGCAGCAGGAGATTGATGATCTAAAGAGGAGAAACACTGAGCTGGAACAGCTTTCAGTCGCAGAGGATCACATCCATTTCCTCCAGGTAACAATAAATACACCTGAGCAACTGATTCATTTGTAAATAAATTATTGTAATATTGAGCACACATGAACATGAGCAGCCTTTCCCACTCCACCCCTCACTCAACAGATTGGCTTGTTTGTTTCCAACACTCAAAAGTACAGAAAGTGGGCCTCCCAAGTGGCGCAACCGTCTAAGCGTTGGCCCCATCATCCGGAGATCGCATGGTCGATCCCTGGTGATGCTAGTAGTAAGTAAGTAAAGTTTATTTATATAGCGCTTTTTACAACAGGTGTTGTCACAAAGCAGCTTTACAAGGAAATGAGCATTACAAAAAGAAAAGAAATCCGGGTCTGAGCCCCCATGAGCGTCGCCAGTGGCGAGAGTGGCAAGGAAAAACTCCCTAGAGAAACAGGAAGAAACCTTGAGAGGAACCAAGACTCAGAAGGGGAACCCATCCTCCTCTGGTCGACACCGGATAGTAAAATATTGTTAGTATAAAGTATTATAGTACAAAAACAGGGTAAAAGGAGGAGCAAACAATTCATTTGAATAGTTTAGTTCATGCAGCAGCAGCATCAGTGGGGTCAGGTTGTGGGGGTGAGGTTTGCACGACGAGCAGTGGCATCCGATCAAGGCAGAAGAGGCAGCAGCATCAGACGCACAGGATGGGCAGCTGTTCAACTCGGCAAAGGAAAGAAAGGAAAAACAGGAAAAAAAGGAAAAACACAGAGTCACTTCTACAATGGGTGATTGATTAATTTGAATTAGTTTAAATGATTGATTGGTTCAGGTGAATAATTTTGATTAGTTCATGTAACAACTGCAGTAGTATCAGTGGGGTCAGGTTGTGAGGGTGAGGTTTGCACGGCGTTGTACAGCAGGAGGCTCAATGTTGGTAAGCCGGTCCAGAGGGCTGGCGAGCAGTGGCACCCGATCAAGGCAGCAGAGGATGGGCAGCTGTTCAACTCGGCGAAGAAAAGAAAGGAAAACACACAGAGAGTCAGTTCTGTAATGGGTGACCGATCACAAATTACAGTGTTAGCGGAGACTCTGGCAGGTATAGAACTGACAGGGAAAACTAATTAACAAAGGCTTGACTATACAAGTAAGTTTTTAGCCTAGACTTAAACACTGAGGCTGTGTCTGAGTCCCGAACATTAACAGGAAGGCTATTCCAAAGCTGGGGGGGCTTTGTATGAGAAAGCTCTCCCCCCTGACGTAACTTTATTAATTCTGGGTACTAATAGTGAGCAGCACCTTGTGATCTAAGTAGGCGGGATGGTTCATAGTGAGAGAGAAGTTCACTGAGGTACTGAGGGGCGAGTCCGTTTACAGCTTTGTAAGTCAGTAAGAGAATTTTATAATCAAACTGAAATTTAACTGGCAACGTTAATAAAACTGGCAATGTTAATAAAACTGGGCTGATATGGTCAAACTTTCTGGTTCTTGTAAGGACTCTGGCTGCAGCGTTCTGGACCAACTGAAGCTTGTTAAGGCTTTGCTGGGACATCCAGCCAGCAGGGCATTACAGTAATCTAGCCTTGAAGTAATAAATGCATGAACTAACTTTTCTGCATCCTGTCGAGATAATGCGTTTCTCAATTTAGCAATATTGCGGAGATGCAGGAAGGCTGTTCTAGTAATATTAGTTATATGTGTTATATGTGCTACAGCCGTCCATAGCCTGGAGTCCAAGAGAGCACAATTGGCCTCGCTCTCTCTGGGTGGGTAGGATGGCCCCTCCTTCTCCCCCCATCACTCAGCGCGATGCTAGTCAGCGCAGGCGTCTGTTAGCTGACGTAACAGATCTGGCGGTTGGCGCTTTCCTCCGAGCGCGTTCGGCTGTCCAGTGACGTTGCGTGAGCGGCAGTTCGAAAAGATGCGGTGGCTGGTTTCACAGGTCTCGGTGGAAGCATGTGTTAGCCTTCGCCCTCCTAGTGTTGGTAGTATCGTGTGACTGGGGGAGTCCTAACTAGCGGGTGGAGTTGGAAACGACTAAACTGGGGAGAAAATTGGAAAAAAAAAAAAAAGTACAGAAAGTAGTTGACGATGTGCCTCCTGGTTGAGAAGCATACAAAGTATAGCCTGCATATAAGTTACATGTAGTAAAAGGGGCCTGGGTATGTATCAGTAAAAGGTATATATCAGCTCATAAATCAGGGATACTTCTTGCTTTTGCGAGTTTTACTTCGCTCAGCGTACACACCTTGGCAGAAAAATGGGCTTTTTCCTTTGATTTTGTTAAATATTATTTTACTTTATTTGCTTTTATTAACTTTGTAACTTCTCCTTATTCACTTCGTAACTTCTCTTGAACCGTCTTCTGTTTCCCTTGCCTTTAGTGTTAATCTCATTTGCATTTTGTATGTCTCTCTTGGGGGATGTGTGGGGGCTGTGGAGAGCAGTCTCTTTGTCATGTAACGACCTCCAATGGTTAGCCTACTTTACATCTGGCTATCTATAGCTCCCCAATCTAGCAATGCCGTTTATTGAAGGGATATCTCGGAGTCATCCTGGCTCCTAGATGGGGGAGACTGTAAATTCCTGGGTGGGCCTCAACACCTCTGTTTCAATTACAAAGGTAGAGGCAGTCGTGTGTGGAGTCAGTACAGCTTAGAGAATATAATTTCAGTGGATTCTGGTTCAGTTATGTTCCCTGACCAAAGGTACTGAGGTGGAGCCTTGAGGGTCCCACCCCAGTGACAAGAGGGGTCCTGCCCCAGAGACTGTTTACTACATTTATTTCTGAGAGTGTAAAAGATCAGTGTATTCTCATTATGTAAACATAGATTTTCAAATACGGTATTTTATAATCAAATCCATGCATACAAATGTTTTATAATAGAGGCCTCTGTACCTCATAGTTTATAAAATAACTTTTCCCAACTAAAGATAATAAACTTATGAGAAATTTCATTTGAACTTTTATCTGCCTCTGTTTTGTTTTTCTCTCTGTAGAGTTTCCCGTCTCTGAGTGTCTCTTCTGGATGTGAGGACTCCTCCAGCATCACTGTCCATCAACATCCCTCATTTGATGGAGTGAGGAAATCTCTCTCTGATCTGAAAGAGAGAGTAGAGGAATTCTGCAAGAAGGAATTCAGTAAAATAAGACCTTTCAACCTAAAGAAGTGTGAAGATCACTATGCTGGTATGTGTTTACCGTTTTGTGCTTGTGTCATAGCTGAAAACATTAAAATGATTTGTTGCAAATATCATAAAAAGAGCTTCAAAGAAACTATAATAGAAATATTATTTGTACCGCTGTGAACAGTATTAACTTAGTTTCTTCTCATAGTTCTGGTGGCAGTGTTACATGTTAAGCAAGGCATGAAGCCCATGAACAGAACTGAATGGGAGTGAGGCTTGTATTTAATAATAAAACATTTGACCTGAATTTCATTATTAGAAATATCCAGGTTTTCACACTCACTGTAAACAGTTATTTTGCAGTGTAACTACTGCAAAACTACTGCTACTTCTGGATAGAGCGTTGCCTTCTTTATTGATTCTATTGGACCTTTTTGTTTCCATGTCTCCACAGCTGCAGCAGTTCAGCCGAGTTTATCCTCAGAGCCAAAAACCAGAGAAGATTTTCTACAGTGTATGAACAACACGCACACACACACACACACACACACACTACACACACTACACACACACACACAATACACACACTCACACACACACACTACACACACACACACACACTACACACACACACACAATACACACACTCACTCTCACACACTACACACACACACAAACACACACACACACTCACTACACACTCACTCTCACACACTACTCACACACACACTCACTACACACACACACACACACTACACACTCACTCTCACACACTACACACTCACACACACTCACTACACACACACACACACACTCACTACACAGTCACTCTCACACACTACACACACACACACACACACACACACACACACACTCTCACACACACACACACACAACACACACACACACTACACACACTCTCACACACTACACACTCACTCTCACACACACACACAAACACACACACATTACACACACTCTCACACACTACACACTCACTCTCACACACACACACAAACACACACACACTACACACACTCTCACACACACTACACACACTCACACACACACGTTACACACTCACTCTCACACACACACGTTACACACTCACTCACACACACACACACTCTCACACACACACTACACACTCACTCTCACACACACTACACACTCACTCTCACACACTACACACTCACTCTCACACACTACACACACACACACACACTCTCTCACTCTCTCGCACACACTCACTACACACACACACTACAAACACACACACACACACTACACACTCACACACATACTCATACACACACACACTACACACAGTCTCTCTCACACACACTACACACCCACACACATACACACACACACACCTACACCTACAAACACATACACACACACACTACAAACACACACACATAAACACACTACACACACTACAAACACACACCTACACATACACACACTACAAACATACATACACACACACTCACACACACACACACACACACACACACACACGTACACATGCGGTTGAATAAGTTGGTCTAAATTTGCACATGTTCATAAGGTAAACAACATGGAAGAAAGACTGTTTCATGTTTTTACACGTGTAAGAAAAAGTATGTCACTCTTAAAGTGATGGAAGACCCCTGGAAAAAGGGTGTTTATTGCAACGGTGTTAACCAAGCATGTAAAACATATTCCAGATAGTTATGGTTTTATACACTGAATGTGACATGAATGAACAGCGCAACAATATGAAATATTCAGACATGATTTTGAAGCTCTAAAACTCATAGTTTTCATGGTGTTTGCATAATGCAAAAAGCAAACAACTAAGCAAAACAGCTTCAATGACAAAAAGAAAGTTTTTATTGCTCCTTAGAAAATGGGCAAATGGTGACGTTAGGTAGACCACAACCAGATAGAGAACAGAGAGTTTCAACACCTCATTCACTGAGCTGAACCATGAGCACCTTCACACTTAGCTGCTTTTTGAAAAGTAGCATCATACATGTATGTCTAATGTACAACCCCAATTCCAAGAAAGTTGAGATGCTGTGTAAAATGTGAATAAATGTAAACAGAATGGATTGATTTCCAATCTCATAGACCCATGTTTTATTCACAATAGAACCTAGAACACATATCAGATGTTGAAAGTGAGAAATTTTACCATTTCATGAGAATATTAACTCCTTTAAAACTTGATGGCGGATAAAAGTTGGGACAGGGCCGCGTCTACCATTGTGTAGCATCCCCTCTTCTTTTAACAACAGCCTGTAAACGTCTGGGAAGTGAGGAGACCAGTTGCTGGAGTTTTGGGAGAGGAATGTTTCCCCATTCTTGTCTGATGTAGGATTCTAGCTGCTCAACTGTCCTGGGTCTTCTCTGGGTCTTCTTTGCTGGATTTTTTGTTTCATGATGTGCCAAATGTCTTCTATTGATGAAAAGTCTGGACTGCAGGCCAGTTCAGCACCCAGACTCTTCTTCTGTGAAGCCATGCTGTTGAGATGGATGCAGAATGTGGTTTAGCATTGTCTTGCTGAAATATGCAAGGCCTTCCCTGAAAGAGACGCTGTCTGGATGGGAGCATGTGTTGTTCTAAACCCCTATATACTGTTCAGCAGTGATAGAGCCTTTCCAGATGTGTAAGCTGCCCATGCTTTAGGCACTAATGCAACCTCATAACATCAGAGATGCAGGCTTTTGAACTGTGTGCTGATAACAAGCTGGATGGTATTTTAAATGAGCTTTGGCCCAGAGAAAACGGTGGCATTTCTGGATCGTGTTGACATACGGCTTCTTCTTTGCATGATACGCGGCGAACTGTGTTCACAGGCAGTGATTTCTGGAAGTGTTCCTGAGCCCATGCACTGATTTCCAGTTCAGAGTCATGCCTGTTTTCAATGCAGTGCTGCATGAGGGCCCAAAGATCACGAGCATCCAGTACTGACCGTCGGCCTTGTCCTTTGAATACAGGGGTTTCTCCAGATTATCTGAATCTTTTGGTGATATTTTGTACTGTAGATGGTGGGATATTCAAAGTCTTCACAATTTCAGGTTGAGGAACATTTTTCTGAAATTGTTCCACAATTTTTAGTTGCAGTTTTCACAGATTGGTGAACCTCTGCCCATCTTTTCTTCTGAGAGACTCTTTTTATACCCAGTCATGTGAGTTGGTTGCAAATTGCTCCACCAGATGTTTTTTTATTAGTACCACTTACTTTTCCAGCCTTTTGTTGCTCCTGTCCCAACTTTTTTGAGATGCGTTGCTGCCATTAAGTTCTAAACGAGTTAGTTTTTCATGAAATGGTAAAATATCTCACTTTCAACATCTGATGTGTTTTATGTTCTACTGTGAACAAAATATGGGTCTTTGAGTTTTGCAAATCATTTGCATTCTGTTTTTCATTTATATTTTACACAGCATCCCAACTTTTTTGGAATTGGTGTTGTATTGCCTAAGCACATCTCTGTACTTGCCTAATCACACCTTTGTGGTGGGTGTACTTGGTAAAATAGCCAGTGACTGTAGGTGTAACTGTAGTGTACCTATAACTGGCACCTTTGTGTGAGGACACTCCAAGATTATGATCCTAAATTGTTTTCCTTCCCTCTTCTTTAAGATTTCTGTCGACTGACTCTGGATCCCAACACAGTATATCATAAACTGGTTCTGTCTGAGAAGAACAGAGTGGTGAAGTGGAGAGGAGGAGCAGAGCGTTACTCTAACCACCCAGAGAGATTTGACCACTGGCCTCAGGTGTTGTCTAAGGAGAGTGTGAGTGGACGCTGTTACTGGGAGGTTGACTGGGACAATGGGGGATGGGGGGTGTCTCTATCAGTGTCATATAAAGGGATCAGCAGGAAAGGAGCGGGTAACAATTGTGCATTTGGAGGCAACGACATATCCTGGAGTCTGTTGTGTTGTTCTGTTCTCTCTTTCTGGCACAACAACATTGAGACTAAGATCCCAGGCTCAGCATCCTCCAGAATAGGAGTGTATGTGGATCACAGGGCAGGAACTCTGTCCTTCTACAGCGTCTCTGACACAATGACCCTCCTACACACAGTCCGCACCACATTCACTCAGCCGCTCTACGCTGGGTTCTGGTTGAAGAAGGGAAGTTTCAAGTTATGTGATCCAGATTATGTTTCTGGTTGGTAATATGTAGAAAACAGAAAGCCGTCTTGAAAAAGACAAATTAGTTTTCGACTGAAGTTAGCTTGAAAAGGCAGACTTGCACATTGCTTCCAATCATGTTAAACCAAAATGCTGGTGCTTTTATGATAGGTTTCCATCAGGACAGTGCAGCTGTATGGAAAATGCTGTACACTAATGGCTTATTAATATCATATATCAATCCATTGTTTTAACAATGCTTAGTCAGTAAGATTGAAAAAGATTACCAAAAACATGTACGTTTTATTTAATGCTATTTGGCAAACTTTACATGAAATTAAGTCCATGTAGTTCATAAATGTTTTAATTTACCAGAAGTTTTTTTTTTTTTATTGTTGGGACATGAATCTGTCATATTGGCAGAGTTTGAGCATAACAGTGATTAAGTACAATAGAAAATGAATGGAATATTTTTACTTTATCCATATTGTGGAATAATACTTGTTAAGTGAAAATGGGTTTGGACAGGTATGTTTTCTTTTCCATTTTAATTTTGGCAGCCATTGTACAGCATTGTGCAGAAAAATGTTTGCCAGCTTAATTTGAACCTGGCTGTGCACAGATATGGAAAATGCAGTTACAAATACACAATTGAATTTACTTTTTCTAATTAGTATTCATATTTGAATAAACAAATTTACATTTTTTGATCTCCATTCTGTCCTCAGTCTTTTCTTCTTTCATTCCCTTATTATAAGCAAAGTTATAGTTGCAATAGTGCAAATATTTTTACAGCTAGCATTTACACTTCATTTACAGCTGCTGGCTGCTCTCCAGTTGTACCTCTAACAAATGATGTTTGATGTTTTAGTTCACTGCAGTCTAAATTAGTACACCTCATACTGCCTAAATCATTGAATTAATTACTAAGCCAACTTAAAATACTTTTCTCACTTGCATTGCTTTCTAAAATAATAACAACAATTGTGTGAGCATTGTGTCCCAGACATGGCTCCTAACCCTATGAAATGAAACCCAATAAAAAAGGAAAAAGAAACCAAAAACAGAATTCATGGGTGTTCTCATTTTCTGGTAGGTGTGCAATTTCAAAACTGCTGAGGGTAAACAAATGCAATATGCTCTGTTTCCAACTTGTGGTTTTATTAGGCAAAATAAAATTGTTTACAACTAAAACTGATATGAATAATTATCCATTAGGGAGATGGATATGTGCAGAAGTTGGTTAAAAGCAGGTGTAAGCCCCCTGCAGTGCTTCACATCACAAACGCATTATATATGAATGGCCAACTAACATTCACGCTGCCAGACTGCACCAGTCACACTTCCTAATTTGTCATACAACAAAAACCTGTGTTTGTTATTAAATTTGTTCCATGATGAAAGCACAGCATAAATTTCATGCATGTATCACTGTTCATTTTTAACTGGAGTAAACTCCAGACCCTTCAACATTAATGTGTTACGATGATCCACTTATTGAAAGCAAATCTTCATCTGTGAGCCTCAGGCAATTGGATATCAGTGCAGCTTTGGTGTGTTTAGGTTGTTTTTAGGTAGGTGGCGGTCAGTAGAGGCAGAATGGGTTAACAATTGGGAAACCATAATCAGAAAAAAGTGAAAGCTAACGTCAGTAATAGATGGGCCACTACAACAATTGGACTAGGAAACAGGAAAATTAGTTGGCTACTACAAAAACAATGAAAACAAAAGTAAATACAACACTTTGCAACAACACACTGACATAAAAATGGCTAATTTGTAGATCTGAGGATCCACACAGAGACACTGCAATACTCCAATGTGTTGGAATCCATTTAATGCATTACTTTAAATGGCTCTGCTCCTGAACTTTTTTTTTCTTCAAAATCTCATCAGAGCGTCTCACTCTATTTCAGTCTCCTTCCTTCTACTCTTCTTACTTTGTCACTCTATCTGGCAAAGGCCAGTATTTCAGTAGATCAGTGCCAGTTCAGCTGTCCAGTCTGTCTGGATCTGCTGACGAATCCAGTGACTATTCACTGTGGACACAGTTTCTGTATGGTGTTTATTAATGGCTGCTGGGATCAGGAGGATCAGAGGGGGTCTACAGCTGCCCCCAGTGCAGAGAGACCTTCACTCAGAGGCCTGTTCTACACAGAAACAACATGCTGGCTGAAGTGGTGGAGAAAGTGAAGAAGACAGAACTCCAAGCTGCTCCTCCTGCTCACTGTTATGCTGGACCTGGAGATGTGGAGTGTGATTTCTGCACTGGGAGTTTCCAGTTTCTGAGTGTCTCTTCTGGATGTGAGGACTCCTCCAGCATCACTGTCCATCAACATCCCTCATTTGATGGAGTGAGGAAATCTCTCTCTGATCTGAAAGAGAGACTAGAGGAATTCTGCAAGGAGGAGTTCAGTAAAATCTCTCCACATGGTAAGAGGAGCTTCTGCTGGGAAACAGAAGGACAGAAATCTTTAATTCAATAGTAAATTAAACACAAATTCACAAGATTGACTCACTTTATCAGCAAGTTCCGTAATTATACTGATTCTGTACAGATTATTTACCAAAACCCTCAGCATCCTCCTCTCTCTTAGCTTATTCAGCTGTTGTAGTGAAGCAGTACCATATTTATCCAGCAGTGCCTAACTGAACTAGAGAAAGAGATTTTATTCTCCCTCAGAATAAAATCTTCAATTCATGCTAATAAATCATTCTGTACTGAACAGTGAGAGAGAGACAGTCAAAGTATCACAGTAACTCAATAGAAGGTAAAGAATAACTGAATCCTGTGTGAAACCCAAACTGATGTGAAACTGTGAGGAAAGAGAGGCAGACAGAATATTTGCTGAGTCAGTTTGTTTTTAAAATATCCAGTGGTCATATAACGGGCATGGGTCTGGATACAAGCAGACAGGTTTACCACAGGATTATCCATGTTAAAAAAAGACTGAACATCAAGCAGACCAAACCAGAAGATGCTAGGAGACAAACTCAAGACGAGAATACAGCTGAGAAATGATGTTACCAAAGCACCAAACTACGTGTCAAAGCAATACAGGAGGGAGTAAAACTATAGAGCCATAGATTACAAACCCAAGCAGCATGTAGACGTACATCTGTGACGTCCACCAACATGCATTAGATTAATAGCTGCTCTTCATCCTACAGGCCACCAGATGTCACTAATATGAACTGTGTTTAAAAGCTTTGAGTAGTGAACCATGAGAGGCGCCTGGCCAGAGAACTTGTAAAGAGGAGATTTACCACTATGTAATGTCTCCCAGGTTTCTCTAACACTAGAGGGCGCTCCCGAGCGAGTCCAAAATGAATGGGTTAAGATTTGTATAAAATGATTTCCTTGACTAGAATTAGGCTGGTCAGCCAGCTAACAGGCTAAAGATAGCAAACTTCACTAATATCACAGGTTTTTAAATTAAAGTACTTATGGTATGATTAACTGTAAAATGACAATACAGAAGTCTGAAGAATGTGACTTAAATGACTTACATGCTTCAAATGTCTGTGTTTCAGTCAGGAGTATCAAACCAGGCTGAACCCCAAACGGCGCTATACTCCGTAGCTAAATAGTGTGCTATTTTGAAATTCTAGCTTCTGCAACCTAAATAGTGACTGTTTTTGAGCATGAATGTGGATGAATCCCAGATGGCTATTTCTTAGCTATATTAAGCACTGTTGTGGTGCAGGAGCCACTACTTAAATTCCTACGTAGTGCACTGTGTAGGTAGCAGGGAGTTATTTGAGATTCAGCCCCAGCAGGGGAAGAGGGGCGCTGCTGGATCGGTGCTATATAAGACTTTCGGTGGTAATATGGTCACCAAAAAGTACTAATAAACTGTGTTTGAATTAAACAGTGCACTGTTATGATATGTTCACTGTTATATGACAAAAAGTTAAAAAGATCATGAAATGACTGCAGTGTACAGTGATAGGTGACCGACTGTTTTCCGCATTCATGGTCCATGGTATGGCAACGATACCGTACTCTAAAGGAACTACATATCTCGGCAGAACACTTGTTTATGTTGATTATTATTAATAATAACTTAAATTATTTTCTAAAACATTATGTAATTCAACATATTTTATGTTGGCTGCCATTTTATAAATAGAGTGAACCAGTCACTCGAGTTCACATTGTTTCCAAGAAACCCTTTCCCTGTGATAAAATCTAAGCAATGCATGACCTCTCATGGCTTATCGCTTTCAGTGCTTTCTGCAGGTTCATGACGTCAGTGAGCGTGAAATCTATTTTTACTAAGTCACTGAGCCATAAGCGCCTCAGTAGTTGCAATGCTGTCAATCCTACAGACCAGAAACTATTGGCTGTAGAAAAACAGAAAGATTTGACTTTTTAATGGAAACACGCAGAAATGTATAGAAACGTCATTTTTCAGTTTAACCATTTATAGCTCCATTTAGCCCCATTCACTGAGGAAGCTCTTGTGGGCGCATTTTGGAAATTCAAATAGCATTTTGCAGTCATGTTTTTGGTATAACTGAAGAAACAGGAACTGGCTGTGATCATTCACTCCCAATCCTTAGATCCACATAACAGTTGTCCTCACATTCATCTCTGAAATGCTGAAAGTATAACTGATAATTCAGGACTCCTTAACCTCATATGTCTCTTATCAGAGTGATGAAAAGCTCTGAGATTCAGCTCTGAAGGCTGTAGCTGGGTCTCTAAGATTGAGTTGGTGGCTCAGGAGACAGTAAAGCTCAGCAAACCCCTCACAGTTATAGTTATTTGTTTAACTGAGATTTTTATTGGTCAGTGTTAAAATGGAATTTCAGATGTTCTCATTTTGGTGTGTTTGGTTTATTTATTCATAAAACTTTAATACTAAAAATAAATTTGAGCAGTCGAGCATCACTGGTGGGTCCACTAGGCCCAATCTTACAGCTGCCACTGGCTCCACCGCTGGGTACTGTTAATTAATTGGACTGTATTCTTCCCTCATGAACTGTCTGACCAGTTTATTGGAGAGCTAACAACAAATTATTAGTGCTGAATGAGAACAGGACTCTCAGTTTTTGCTCCTCTGAAGGCTTAAATGTTGTCACACTATCATTTTACTTAATGTGACAGAATATGTTATGGGTGAGTTAAACATCAAGTAGTTTTTGTATTAATTGTATTTAATTAACATTATTGCTGAAATTGATGTATGTAGTGTTGATGTGAAAACAAATATTAAAGCATGGCAAAGACTTTTTTTTAGGAATATTTGAGATGGAATTTCAGTTGCTGTGAATAACCAGCCTCTACGTCCACCCCCACCAGAACAACCTGGCCCACTGAAATCTCACTCTAAAAAAATGGCACCCCTGTTACTGAGCCTAATGAGAACAGCTTCTGTAGAGAAGCTGGATCCGCATTGATACTGCATCTCTTCTACACTTTAAACGACTCCACAACTTTATTATTTCTTATATTCCACCTCTTTTCTATGCTCCTTCTTGTCTCTCCTCTCTTTCCTCATTTCTCTCTTTCTTTCCATTGTATCTATGAGCATCTTTAACAAAGAAGCAGAAAGCCACTCCTACTCAGTTCAGATGCAGTGAAACTAATCTCAGATCTCAGACTGTCTCTCTCTCAGTCTGCGAGTGCAGGAAAATGGCAGAGGCCAGTATTTCAGAAGATCAGTGCCAATTCAGCTGTCCAGTCTGTCTGGATCTGCTGAAGGATCCAGTGACTATTCACTGTGGACACAGTTTCTGTATGGTGTGTATTAACAGACACTGGGATAAGGATGATCAGAGCGGGGTCTACAGCTGCCCCCAGTGCAGAGAGACCTTCACTCCGAGGCCTGTTCTACGCAGAAACAACATGATGGCTGAAATGTTGGAGAAAGTAAAGAAGCCAGAACTCCAAGCTGCTCCTCCTGCTCACTGTTACGCTGGACCTGGAGATGTGGAGTGTGATTTCTGCACTGGGAGGAAACGCAAAGCCATCAAGTCCTGTTTGGTGTGTGTAGCGTCTCTTTGTGAAGCTCATCTTAAACCTCATCTGGAAATTCCAGCCTTGATCAGACACAAGCTGGTCAAAGCCTCCACACGACTACAGGAGAAGATCTGCTCTCAACATGATGAAGTGGTCAAGATCTACTGCCGTACTGACCAAAGCTGCATCTGTTATTTGTGTATGATGGATGAACACAAAGGTCATGATACAGTTGAAGCTGCAGCAGAAAGAAAAATGAAAGAGGTGAGAAATAGAAATCTTTGAGAATCTGTTCATGCTAATTCTGTTTTGATACTGGAATAAGTTGCTTAAATTATTAATTGTATAGGAATAAATTTAGAATGGATTTTGTATTTTGTGGATAAGGAAGTGATGAGTTACTTTCTTTCCCAATAAGACCACATAACTAGTCAGACCAGTCTGTGAACATTTTACCTGCCAACACTGTCTTGATTAATAAAGTACATACAGCCTTAAAAATGTGTAGAACAGTACTGCCCGTTAGGTGTTTTGCTAACATTAATATTCAAATGTTTAGTTTTTAATATAAATTACTTCTCAGAATCAGCTGAAGGAGGTTCAGAGGAAATTCCAGCAGAGACTCCAGGAGAAAGAGAAGAAGCTGCAGGAGCTGAAACAGGCTGTGGTCACTCTTAAGGTGAGTAGTGGGCAGAGATCTGCTGGAGCAACTATTTCACAGCTCACTGAGAGTCAGACAGTGAGGAGTCCAGTGTTGGACACTTTGGGATCCTACACAGCCACAATGTGGACAGTCAGTCATCTAGAGGCCCAGTGAGAGAGTGAATGATAGCTGGTGTTTAAATGGAGCTCCATCTTGTGTGTCTGTGTCCTAACAGCGCTCTGCAAAGGCAGCAGTGGAGGACAGTGAGAGGATCTTTACTGAGCTGATCCGCTCCGTTGAGAAAAAGCGCTCTGAGGTAACAGAGCTGATCAGAACTCAGGAGAAGAACCAGCTGAGACAAACTGAAGAACTCCTGAAGAACCTGCAGCAGGAGATTGATGATCTAAAGAGGAGAAACACTGAGCTGGAGCAGCTTTCAGTCACAGAGGATCACATCCACTTCCTCCAGGTAACAATCACTCACCTACAGAGGAACCTGCTCCTCAGAGAGGCTCTAAAATTGATGTTTCAAATGCTCATTAAAGCCGCAACAAACACATCTCTCTACGTTCTGTATTTTCCTTCTGCAGAGTTTCCAGTCTCTGAGTGTCTCTTCTGGATGTGAGGACACACCCAGCATCACTGTCCATCAACATCTCTCATTTGATGGAGTGAGGAAATCTCTCTCTGATCTGAAAGAGAGACTAGAGGAATTCTGCAAGGAGGAGTTCAGTAAAATCTCTCCACATGGTAAGAGGAGCTTCTGCTTCCCCCTAAATACAAACTAGAAAATATCTTAAAAAAAAAATCGTAAAAAATTTGCACCCAGAAGGCATTAACCGACAGGAATGAACCTTGGTGGGTAGGTTTGACATTGTGAAGTTTCATGCTCGGCTGCACATGTGGCATAAGCAAGGATGGCACTTATCGCCGTACCTGACTGACTATATGAGGTCATGCCATTGTGCAGGCTTTCCATTCTGACTTGTGCTGTTGTGTTGGTAGCATCCTTTGGAAGCAAAGTATGCCTCGAAGAAGAGTTCAAAAGCAATTCGAGCAGTTGGAAGAATTCAAAGAGGGGTCACATCATAGGGCTCTGGGAAGCGGGATAGTCTTATTCACATATTGCGCGCCATATTGTTCGTGCCGATATTACCATAGCATGTTGTTGGTGGCAGTGCATGGCACGCACCAGCGTCATGAAGTATCTGGGAGACCTACATGAACCACGGAGAGGGAGAACCGATGGATTGTCCGAGATGTGACAACAGCCAACAGTCACGATTGCGGACATTCAGCGAGCAGTGATGCCCTCCATGAGTCATCCTGTTAGTGTCAGCACTATTGGCAGATGGCTGCACAACACAGGACTACATGGATGCAGACCATTATGACAACTGCCCTCAACACCATGTCAACGTCACCAAAGACTCCAATGGTGTCGTGCCAGACTGTCACGGAGTGACTCAGAATGGCAGCGGGTCATCTTCAGTGATGAGTCTCGCTTGGTGGAGATGACCCATGTGTGGAGACACCATGGTCAGTGCCAAGGTGAACAGTTAGTTGTCAAGCATCACATGTCCAGAAGGCCTGGTGTTGTGGTGTGGGGTGCAATTTTGTATGATGCTGATCACCTTTGGTCTTCATTACAGGCACTTTATGTTAATGAGGTCCTCTAACCAGTGACCCAACTTTTTCTGAACGCACAGTCTGGTGCACTATTCCAACAGGAGAATGCTCGTTTGTATACTGCTGCCATCTCAAGAGCTTGCCTTGAAGACACAGATACTATGCCATGGCCAGCCACATCGCCAGACCTATCCCCAATTGAAAATGTGTGGGATGCTGTTGGACACACTATCAACACTTCTCCCCTACTGCAAAATGGAACTGCGTGGGAATATTTAAGATGCATGGGATGGATTATCGCAGGACACCATTAGGAACCTCTACAACTCCATGCCGAGACGTCTGGCATGTAGCATTAGCAAACATGGCGGCCCGACGCTGTACTAAGAGACACTACTTTTGTATGTGTAGCTCAATGAATTTTGCCCATATCAGCCTAAATTTTTAATCATTCATTGTTTTTGGTAACTGTTATCTTTCTCCGGAATGAATATGTCTGTGTGTCTGCCCTGTGATGGACTGGTGGCCTGTCCAAGATGTGGAAGTGCTGGAATAGGCTCCATAATAAAATTATTACTATTGCATTGCCAATATGTTTTCTATTTTTTCCATGCCAGTAAACTAAGCTGACCATCGAGGGAGAGAAAGAGACATTCAGATTAACATAGAAAGATATTTGACAAAATGCAGAGAATAAATTCTTCATTAAATGCTGTGACTGTGCTGTGTGTCTTTTAGCTACTTCTGTCTTTCTGAGCGAGTGTTTAATTTCCTTCATTCATTCTGTTAAATCAGTGTGTTTGTGTGTCTCCACAGCTGCAGCAGTTCAGAAGATTTTATCCTCAGAGCCAAAAACCAGAGAAGATTTTCTACAGTGTATGTACAACACACACACACACACACACACACAAATATACAAATACACATACACACAAATGTACACAGTGGGCAAATTTCCTCTAGTTGTCAAGCTCCATGATGTGTCATACATACTTGATGTATATATCCTGGTTTTTAGCTCCTGAAAGATGACAGTCTGTACATGCTGCTCTAGCTTGGCCTAGACTTTCTAATCAACAGCAAAATGTCCCACCAGCCACACCTGGGCAAATACAATCAATACAAAATTATCAACTCTCAACCTGAGCTGGTGCGACCATTGCTGCAGAAGTGGTCGACAGTCTGCACTGGGAGGTTGGGATACACCAAAGTGGTAAAACACCATATTATCACCACAGATGAAGTTCCTGTGAGGAGAAGAGCCTACCAAACGTCCATCCAAAAACAGGACATCATCAAAGAACACATTCAAAAGATGTTAAAAGATGACATAATCAAACCCTCTTCCTCCTCCTGGGCTGCTCCTGTGGTTTTAGTTCCAAAGCCAGATGGTTCATTCCGTTTTTGTGTAGACTATCGTGGTCTAAATTCCAAGACATTTCATGACGTCTACCTTATGCCCCTGGTGCATGAGATCCTGGAGTCAATGCAGTGTGCTTCCTACGTTATCACACTTGATTTGCAGAGTGGCTACTGGCAGGTGGCTATGGATGAAGAGAGCAAGTTAAAGACGGCTGTGATCACCCCGCGAGGGTTATACCATTTTAAAGTTATGCCTTTTGGCCTCAAGAACCCTGGTGCCACATTCTAGCGGTTAATGGTACAGGTGTTGGGGGAGCTAAGGTGGAAAATAAGCTTTGTTTACATCATTGACATTACTGTTTTCTCACAGACACTGGATCAGCATCTCCCACACTAGGATGTGGTCTTTTGCAAATTACATTCGGCCCAACTAACTCTCAACATAAAAAATGTCACATTTTCCAGATGCAAATCACCTTCCTGGGACATGTAGTGTCAAGTCAAGGGGTTGGAAGTAGACCCTGATAAGGTGGCAGCCATTTGCAAGTACCCAACTCCAACTGATCTCAAGAGCCTTCAGAGATTCTTTTGGTAGATTGGTATCATGAGTTTATCCCCAACCTGGCTGACATGACCGCTTTATTGAACCATCTAAAAAAGAAAGGCGTGTGTGGGTAATGGTCTGCAGACTGCCATAATGCCTTCAGGGAAATGACAAAGGCCCTTCAATCTGCTCCAGTGTTGGCTCGACCAAGGTACAAGGTCACTTTCCAAGTCCAAACTGATGCTAGTGATGTTGGATTAGGTGCTGTCCTTACCCAGCAAATTGAGGATAAGAAGAAGATCATCGCATACGCTTCCCAGGCACTGCGAGGAGCGGAGCCGAGATACTCCACCACTGAGAAAGAATGCTTGGCCATAGTGTGGGCAGTAGAAAAGTGGTGGCATTACCTGGAGGGCTCTGTGTTCGACATCTTTATAGATCATAGCGGCCTTATGTGGGCATTCAACTCCCCCAAGTCTGTGTCCAGACTGACTCGGTGGACTCGATGAGTCTCCAAGCATTTGACTTCAGAGTGTATTACAGGAAAAATTGTTGCAACATTGTCCCAGGCACACTATCAAGAGCTCCATCTACTCTAGAAGGAAACATCTGCGTAGCAGTGGCAAAAACCTACTGGTGCAATTTACCAATCTCTCTGCAAGATATTGAAGCTGCTCAGAAAAGCAGCCAAATCTGTCAGCAAGTAAAAGAGTCGTGCCAGAATACCAAGATGGGACGAGTGCACTATGAAGAACAGCAAGGGGTCTTATACAGTGGTGTGCCTTCCAGATTTGGTTACTTCAATTACCAGTTAGTGGTCCCTGAGAAAATGACTGGGTAGTTCTTACAGTACTTCCATAGTAGCCCTTTTGGGGGGTCACCTTGACCGAATGAAAAACCTCAGGAAGATACTGGAGGTGGCTTGATGGCCTACTATAAGAAGAGATGTCTGGAAGTATGTAAAGGAGTGTGTGACCTGCCAACAGTACAAGAGCCCGAATACTAAACCAGCCAGATTGCTACAGCAAACTGAGGTCCAGCAGCCAGGAGAAATGATCAGAGTGGATTTTAGGGGTCCCTTACTTATGACTCACTCCAGGAACACTATGCTGATGGTTGTATTGGATTATTATATTTGAAATGTGTGGAATTGTTCCCTTTAACAGATGCCAAGGCTCCATGGGTTTGCCAAATAGTCAGAAAAGACATCTTTACACGCTGGGGGGTGCCTGCTGACATTGTATTAGATCATGGGCCACAGTGGACAAGTGACGTGATGGCCAAGTTATGTGAGACCTGGGGAGTGTCTCGGAAGTTAACAACGGCTTACCATCCCCTGACCAATCTCACAGAGAGAGTGAACCGTACCTTGAAGGCCATGATTGCTTCCTTTGTGGGTAAGCACCACCAAGACTGGGACCACTGCTTACCTGAATTTCACCTGGCCATCAATTCAGCTGTTCACAAATCCACTGGGGTCTCGCCTGCCGTGTTAGCTTTGGGGCGCTCTATTAAGGGCCCACTTGAATGCTTCATTCATCATGCACCCACACCACACACGGCTGCATACAACACTTCACAAAATCACATGGCTCTGCTGAGGGAAGTTGAAAGACACGTGGGTGTGGCCATGTCGAAACAAGCTAGATATTATAATGTCCATTGTAAATGTGTACAGTTTGCGGTTGGGGATCTGGTTTGGATTCGGACACATCCACTCTCCGATGCCTCAGCTAAATTCACAGCCAAACTTACACCTAGATGGAAAGGTCCCGCTAGGGTTGAGAAACACTTGAGTCCCAACAATTACAGAGTGAGATGGGGTACAGAAAAACTGAAAATTGACAATGTTAATGTTGTAGATCTCGAGCCATATTATGCTCCTTCTGTGCTGCTGACTGGGGGGGGTGGTCTGTGACAAGTGCACACTGAATGCTGATTTCTTTGTTTATATAGATAGAGTGTTAATAATTAATTACTTGTAAAAAAAAGAGGGTAATTCGGCACTTTATTCTATGAACTTTAAGTACCCTTTTACGTTCACTATGTCATGGGACAATCGGCCAATCAGAGGATGGAGGCAAAAACAAAACAAGGAATGGAGAACATGGCAGGGAGAGAGAGGACCGGCATGGTGAATAAGCATTGGCAACTTCTCCATTAAAGCTATTTTTCTCCGTTTTTGTTCACTGTTTGCAATCGTGCACACGACTTTTGCAGTTTGAGGCAGTTTAAGGCTTTTTTATCAAACAGACACTAAATGGAGTTGGACTATGGAGTTAACCATGGACTTGCACCGCTATTGAAGCCAACAAGGTGGTGAGCAAATTGGTTTTGAACTTAAGACAGCCAAGTCCCAGCGTGTTCAGTACTCGCCATACTCTCTCTCCCTTTTTACTTCACACTCATGGAACTGTATGTTGGAAAACGGGATCGCTGAATCCCAATATTGACTGTAATTGCCAACGTGCAAACCGTGTTTTGTGTATAATAATCGTCAACTTTGCACTGACTTTTTTGGGTGTTTGTGGGGAGGAAATGCACTTGTAAATAGTACAATAAATGCTGCTGGTGCTGTTGTAAAGGGTTGTACGTGTGGTGAGTTTAATAGAGAGTGGTATATTATGCTGCCCTGACCTCAAAAGGTGTTCGTTAAAGCATTCTCTGTGGAACCCCAGTAAACTAAATTTATAGCATCATGGTTCCATTCATTAAAAGGTGTAATTACCTTGTTGCAATTTTCATTCGCTTTTGTTTGTGTGTATGTGTGTTTCATGGATGTCTGTGTTTGCACTCGGGTGGTTTAAATTCACACTTATTGTAAAAAAAAAAAGTTGCACCCAGAAGGAATCAGCTGACAGGAATGAAACTTGGTGGGTAGGTTTGACATTGTGAGATGCGAATGATTCAAGTTTCACGCTCGGCCACACATGTGACATAAGCAAGGCGGGCCTTATTGCTGTGCCTGGCTGACTGTATAAGGTCATGCCATTGTGCAGGCTTTCCATTCTGACTTGTGCTGTTGTGTTTGTAGCATTCTTTGGAAGCAAAGTATGCCTCAGAGAAAAGTTCTAAAGCAATTCGATCAGTTGGAAGAGTTCGAGATGGGTCGCATCATAGGGCTCTGGGAGTCTTATCGATGTATTGTGCGCCATATTGGTTGTGCAGATATTACCATAGCACACTGTTGGTGACATTCAGCGAGCAGTGATGCCCATGGAGTGACTCAAAATGGCAGCGGGTCATCTTCAGTGATGAGTTCCACTTTTGTCTTGGTGAAGAAGAGCAACAAATCCGTGTGTGGAGGCACCATGGTCAGCGCCAAGATGAACGATTTGTTGTCAAGCATCACACATCCAGTAGGCATGGTGTCTTGGTGTGGGCTGAAATTTGAATGATGCTAGATCACCTTTGGTCTTCACTACAGCCACTGTGATAGCCCAATATTACGTTAATCAGGTCCTCCAACCAGTGGCCCAACTTTTTCTGAATGCACAGTCTGGTGCACTATTCCAACAGGACAATGCTCATTCGTATATTGCTGTTGTTTCCAAAGGGTTGTTATTCTGAAGGCAAATGAGGAAGGGTGGCCTGGTGGTGCAGTGGGCAGTGCTGTTGCCTCACAGCAGGAAGGGCTTGGGTTCACTTCCCCACCTGGGCAGCCAGAATCCATTCTGTGTGGAGTTTGCACGTTCTCCCCACGTCACAGTCCAAAGATATGCACTCAGGCCAATTGGAGATGCTAAACTGTCCCTAGGTGTGAATGAATATGTCTGTGTGTCTGCCCTGTGATGGACTGGTGGCCTGTCCAAGATCTTTACTGCATTTCGTCCAGTGAGTGCTGGGATAGGCTCCATAATAAAATGATTACTATTGCATTGCCAATATGTTTTCTATTTTTTACATGCCAGTAAACTAAGCTGACCATCGAGGGAGAGAAAGAGACATTCAGATTAACATAGAAAGATATTTGACAAAATGCAGAGAATAATTTCTTCATTAAACGCTGTGACTGTGCTGTGTGTCTTTTAGCTGCTTCTGTCTTTCTGAGCGAGTGTTTGAGTTTCCTTCATTCATTCTGTTAAACCATTGTTTGTGTGTCTCCACAGCTACAGCAGTTCAGAAGATTTTACCATCAGAGCCAAAAAACAGAGAACATTTTCTACAGTGTATGTACAACACCATAACACTCTTGGAAAAACAGCAATATCAAAAAGAGAGAAAAGGGAGGGATCATCTAGCTGAAAAAAAAAGCAGCAGGATTGTGTGCATCACATTGCAGTATTATCGCTTTTTACAAACCCCAATAGCTACGGATACAACACACTTACTAAAATACAAGTTCCAGTCTCTGCATCCAAGATTCATTATCAGTCTTTGCAAATTCTTGGGCAGTTAGCAAAGCAGGAGGAATTGGATAGATGTCAGCTAGTTTCTAGATATTTTTCTTGATGAACGCTGCTTTCCTTGCTCAAGACAGTCCTCAAATACACACACACACAAACATACACATACAAAAATACACAAATACACACACAAATGTGCAAAGACACAAATACACACATGCAAATACACACACAAATATACACATGCAAGTACATGAATACACACGGGCAAATACACAAATACCCAAATACACACACACAAACACATACACAAATATACACAAACACAAGCATACAAACACATACATGCACACACCTTGCCAAATTTAACTCTGAATGTGTTTTTATTTTGCTGACAAACATCAGACGGCCTCTAAAATACTGAACGTAGAAAAAGTGTGTGATTAAACTTTGACTACCATATTTTTCTTAAAATCACTACATTCACTAAATTAAAACACCCAAGTTCCTTTCTTGTTTTAGATTTCTATCGACTGACTCTGGATCCCAACACTGTACATCATAAACTCAGACTGTTTCAGAAGAACAGAGCTGTAAGGAGCAGAGGAGGAAAGCAGCGTTACTCTGATCATCCAGAGAGATTTGACGACTGGAAGCAGGTGTTGTGTAAGGAAAGTGTGAACGGACGCTGTTACTGGGAGGTCGAGTGGAGCCGTGGGGGATGGATGTATGCATTCGGTTGGGTGGACATATCAGTGTCATATAAAGGGATCAGCAGGAAAGGAGAAGGTGATGAGAGCAGGTTTGGACGCAACAATCAGTCCTGGAGGCTGAGGTGTTCTAAGACTCTCACTTTCTGGCACAACAACATTCCGACTGTGCTCTCAGGTCCATCATCCTCCAGAATAGGAGTGTATGTAGATCACAGTGCAGGAACTCTGTCTTTCTACAGCGTCTCTGACACAATGACCCTCCTACACACAGTCCACACCACATTTACTCAGCCTCTCTACGCTGGGTTTGAGGTTGGGCCGGGTTCATCACTTAAACTGTGTGACTCAGTAATGAAGTACAGAAAAAGAGAGAAAATTATCAAGTTAGCTTGAAAAAGCCAACTTGCTGTTCTACTTAATCATCGTATTCTTACTATTCTGTGCTCAAAAAACAAAATGTTTCCTGTCCCACCGTTTTCGAGCCAGAACCATGAAACTTTACAGAATCGTAGGTCCCATACCCATGCTTGTGCTTTTCTGAGTAATCAGACGTACGGTTTTCGTAAAATGATTGTTCAAAGATGATTTTTTTCCCATAGGAAATGAATGGCAGAATGTTTGACACTCATACACAGTACATACAAACTCACAGCATAATGCACAGCAATAACAGCTGGAATTGCATTTAAGGTATTACTGAATTTAAGGTGGCACTGAATTTAAGGTGGCACTGAAATTAAGGTGGCAGTAAATTTAAGGTGAAACTGCACTTAAGATAGCACTCAATTTAAGGTGGCACAGCATTTAAGGTGACACTGAATTTATGCTGGAATTGCATTTAAGGTAATACCAAATTTAAGGTGGCACTGAATTTAAGGTAGCACTGAATTTAAGGTTGCACCGCATATAAGGTATCACTGAATTTAAGGTGGCACTGAATTCAAGGTGGAATTGCATTTAAGGTAGCAATGAAATTAAGGTGGCAGTAAATTTAAGATGGAACTGCACTGAAGATAGCACTCAATTTACGATGGTACTGCATTTAAGGTGGCACTGAATTTGATATGGAATTACATTTAAGGTAGCACTGCAATTAAGGTGGCAGTAAATTTAAGGTGAAACTACACTTAAGATAGCACTCAATTTAAGGTGGCACAGCATTTAAGGTGGCACTATATTTAAGTGGGAATTGCATGTAAGGAATACTGAATTTAAAGTGGCATTGAATTTAAGGTATCAGTGAATTTAAGGTGGCACTGATTTTAAGGTGGAACTGTGCATTTAAGGTAGCAACGAAATCCATTGAACCTTGGACACCGTGGCAACTGCCTAGCAACATCTAAGTAACACTTTAGCAACCATCAACAGTCTTCCTTCATTTTAACGTTTTAACGTAATTAGCTTAAAGTTCGTTCACAAACTTTCCCTTTCTAGTTTTATGTTCTAAAACTAAATACTTCATTTGGTAGTATTTTCTTTGACAGTTGTAAAATCACTAAAAAGATGTAAGTTATTGTTACTGATTACAATGAGATATGTAGAAAACTTTAAATCACACATTTAGTTTATAATACCCTTCATTTTACCCCTCAGCTGTCAGTCCTCAGCCTTGCATTCATCTCAATATTTAAAAATATTTATCTAAATTAACCCCAATATATAATTACATCAACACATGTTTCAGAGACCTTATAGTTTTCAACATTCTTGAACTGTTCAGTAAAATGGTGGGTTTTTCAAATCATGCATCATACAGTGTGGGGGGGGGGTTCTTTTTGTATCATTGAGAAATACATCACCATAATTTTCTCTTCTACAAACACCTTTTTATTCACCATCAGTCTGCAATTAAATCCTATTTTATTTTATTTATAAATTGTGGTAAACATCTGCCAAGACTGTAAATATATAGTTCTACACTTTCTGATAAACACTTTTACAAAATTCTATAGTTATACAGAGATTGATGATAACACATGATAACATATGTACTAATGCTCTGACTATTTACCAGACTGCACTTTTTAATTGCTTTGGTTGAGGATAAATTTGAATTTGATTCAAGAAAAGTGGTGTAAGGAATTATGTTATTTACCACTCGCAATATTTAAAAACACCTTTTTTTGCATTTGTCTGACTTCTGAGAAATTAATATCATTTCTGGAATAAAGCTGTACTTTGCATTTTAAGCTCTTGTTGAATAAATCTTAAATGTAAAATGAGCTTTGTGATGTTTTATCCACAGAAGCAAATTGACTCAGATAGAGAATGTGCGTCCAGCAGAGAGACGATGAGATGAATGAGTTCAGATGGACGGTGGTCTCTGTAAAGGAGAGCGCTGGAGTTTATCTGCTGCACTAAACAAATGACTTACCTGCCTTTAACTAGCTTTGTTACTAATCTGTGCATTTCCCTACTTCACTGACCAGGTCATCTCATTCTTACCCAACATTGATATTTTCTGTAACCAAAGGTGTGAAATACAGGGGAGGACCCCCTAATTAATCTCTTGGACCCCCTAAATGTCTCAAAATCAACATTCTGGCAGGTCCCTGAAAATCTAATTGTTATGAAGTTATGCTGTTCATTGGGGAAAAATAGGCGTTCAAATAAAAATTCAGGGAAAGGTCATTATTCATCCTACTTCACAATCGGCGAGCTTCTGTCTTTAATATCCTTAACTATGCAGCCCTGGTCTGCCTCAGGGTGGCGCTGTAGCAAATTAGTTCACCCTGTTGGTCCTTCATAGCCTAGCAACTGTAACTATGCTTGGAATACGTTTGAAAAACTTCACAATATACTGTAGTATTTATGTAAATCTAAAAACTGTCCAATTTCACAAGAGTTTGGTGGAAAGAGTGAATTATTATTCATTTCTCAAAGCAAGATGGTCTTACAGAGAAAGTAAAAAAGGACAAAACAATAAGGAAACTTACTACATGTGTTATTTTATATTTGTGGGCCAAAGTGGCAGAAACTGGACTACAAGATCTCTTTCAGAGCAATAAGGCAGAGCTGGCGCCCTCTGATGGCTGCTACTAAAACATCAGTCACTCTGATAGTTTTGGTCACATTAAATTAATCCAAGTAAAAACATACTGTCAGTAATAGCAATATGTAACCACATCAATCATTTGTATTGTTTTAAGTTTATTTTCTCGTGTCTATGATCACAGAAGCCAACATAGTTCTGCCTGTAACAGAGGAGAACAAGAAACAGACAGAATATTTGCTGAGACTGTTATGAAAAAAATCCAGTAAAATACTGGGCAGGAGTCTGACCACAAGCAGACAGGCTTATCTCAGGATTATCCATATTGAAAAGGAAAGAAAATCCAGCAGATAAAGTCTTGGAGATGCTAGGAGACAAACTCAATAATACTGCTGAGAAATACTGATACCAAAGCTCCAAAGCCTGTGTCAAAACAATTCAGTACGGAGTTGAGCTACAGGGCCACAAACCGTACACCTACCACCACTTTAATACCAGTTTAACAAGCCCTCGTTCACTCTGCCTCACTACTCATACAGTATTCTGAGGCAGTAAGGCAGCCTGTCACGTCTGAATTGAATGTTTATGTAAAACGCTGCCCGAGTTTCCTCAGTTTGGTCCCTTTTTTGAAGGTAGCATAGATGTATCCTAGCCTTCTTAAATAACTGGAAAACTACATAACGCTAAGCTAACAGTGAGGTGTCGCTGCCTTCGATGCGCATCTCAAACGCAATTCAGTTGCAGGTACGTTCATCACAATGCTGCCTTCTGACACTGACTAACAGGGCATCGAGACAGCAGCCTTCAGTTTTGGACACAGCCTCAGACACCGCATGCTGACATGCCTTCGCTGTGCATATGTGTTCCAAATCGGGTCGTGACAGTGCTGAACAGCAGGTAGTAACGGTTGCTAAGCAGTGATTGGAGGGAAATGGGAAGGTCTTGAGATGGTCTGATCGGCTCAGTGCCTGATGTTGGCGGTCTAGTCGCGCTCCTGACCTGTAGTACGGATCACGGCTCGTGTCGTACACTGGACACTGTACAGTCTACTACTGATGAAGAGTAGCCTGCAGTGTACAGTGTATACTGGAGCAGTAAGCAGTGTACAGTACACAGTATGCTGTTTTAACACAGCGTCTATCAGCGCTCAGCTCTCACTGGACCACTTCTTCCTGTTCTAACACATAAACATAGCCAGCAGGCTAGCCCCGCCCTTCAGAGTAAGAGTCCTTAGCAGAGTAAATGCTGCAGAACACATAACCTGGAGTTAACATGTAAAGCTTTTCTCAAACACACTACAATATTTATAGCTATCAATACTCTCTTTATGATGTGTCTATAGATTTAAATGTAGAAATACAATTTAAGTGACATTCAAAATTCAGATACATTTTTTAAGAATTTTGTTTTCAGTTACAGCACTAAGTCTGAGCACCGTATTGTAGCTCATTACTGTGAACAGCTTCTGACTGTGTTACTCCTACAAACTGGAGTCAGTGTAATCCATTAGTTTTGAGGCCCAACTCCACATTTATTCTTTCAAAATTCTGTTCCTGACTCGTCCTCGTATCTCGATCTGCTCTTATTTTTCTCTCTCTCTCTCTCTCCACCCTCTCTGTGCAACACTTTAACACACACAGAAGCAGGAAGCCCCTCCTACTCAGTTCAGAGAAAACGAAACTTATCCCAGAGTGCTGCGCTCTCTCTCTCTCTCTCTCTCTCTCTCTCTCTTCTCTCTCTCTCTCAGTCTGCGAGTGCAGGAAAATGGCAGAGGCCAGTATTTCAGAAGATCAGTGCCAATTCAGCTGTCCAGTCTGTCTGGATCTGCTGAAGGATCCAGTGACTATTCACTGTGGACACAGTTTCTGTATGGTGTGTATTAACAGACACTGGGATAAGGATGATCAGAGCGGGGTCTACAGCTGCCCCCAGTGCAGAGAGACCTTCACTCCGAGGCCTGTTCTACGCAGAAACAACATGATGGCTGAAATGTTGGAGAAAGTGAAGAAGCCAGAACTCCAAGCTGCTCCTCCTGCTCACTGTTACGCTGGACCTGGAGATGTGGAGTGTGATTTCTGCACTGGGAGGAAACGCAAAGCCATCAAGTCCTGTTTGGTGTGTGTAGCGTCTCTTTGTGAAGCTCATCTTAAACCTCATCTGGAAATTCCAGCCTTGATCAGACACAAGCTGGTCAAAGCCTCCACACGACTACAGGAGAAGATCTGCTCTCAACATGATGAAGTGGTCAAGATCTACTGCCGTACTGACCAAAGCTGCATCTGTTATTTGTGTATGATGGATGAACACAAAGGTCATGATACAGTTGAAGCTGCAGCAGAAAGAAAAATGAAAGAGGTGAGAAATAGAAATCTTTGAGAATCTGTTCATGCTAATTCTGTTTTGATACTGGAATAAGTTGCTTAAATTATTAATTGTATAGGAATAAATTTAGAATGGATTTTGTATTTTGTGGATAAGGAAGTGATGAGTTACTTTCTTTCCCAATAAGACCACATAACTAGTCAGACCAGTCTGTGAACATTTTACCTGCCAACACTGTCTTGATTAATAAAGTACATACAGCCTTAAAAATGTGTAGAACAGTACTGCCCGTTAGGTGTTTTGCTAACATTAATATTCAAATGTTTAGTTTTTAATATAAATTACTTCTCAGAATCAGCTGAAGGAGGTTCAGAGGAAATTCCAGCAGAGACTCCAGGAGAAAGAGAAGAAGCTGCAGGAGCTGAAACAGGCTGTGGTCACTCTTAAGGTGAGTAGTGGGCAGAGATCTGCTGGAGCAACTATTTCACAGCTCACTGAGAGTCAGACAGTGAGGAGTCCAGTGTTGGACACTTTGGGATCCTACACAGCCACAATGTGGACAGTCAGTCATCTAGAGGCCCAGTGAGAGAGTGAATGATAGCTGGTGTTTAAATGGAGCTCCATCTTGTGTGTCTGTGTCCTAACAGCGCTCTGCACAGGCAGCAGTGGAGGACAGTGAGAGGATCTTTACTGAGCTGATCCGCTCCGTTGAGAAAAAGCGCTCTGAGGTAACAGAGCTGATCAGAACTCAGGAGAAGAACCAGCTGAGACAAACTGAAGAACTCCTGAAGAACCTGCAGCAGGAGATTGATGATCTAAAGAGGAGAAACACTGAGCTGGAGCAGCTTTCAGTCACAGAGGATCACATCCACTTCCTCCAGGTAACAATCACTCACCTACAGAGGAACCTGCTCCTCAGAGAGGCTCTAAAATTGATGTTTCAAATGCTCATTAAAGCCGCAACAAACACATCTCTCTACGTTCTGTATTTTCCTTCTGCAGAGTTTCCAGTCTCTGAGTGTCTCTTCTGGATGTGAGGACACACCCAGCATCACTGTCCATCAACATCTCTCATTTGATGGAGTGAGGAAATCTCTCTCTGATCTGAAAGAGAGACTAGAGGAATTCTGCAAGGAGGAGTTCAGTAAAGTCTCTCCACATGGTAAGAGGAGCTTCTGCTGGGAAACAGAGGGACAGAAATCTTTACTTCAACAGTAAATTAAATACAAATCCAAAAAGTTGACTCACTTTATCAGCAAGTTCAGTAATTATACTGATTCTGTACAGATTATTTACCAAAACTCCCAACATCCTCCTCTCTCTTAGCTTATTCAGTCGTTGTAGTGAAGCAGTACGACATTTATTGAACACCCCATTCAGTGCCTCACTGAACTGGGGGGGGGGGCTGCTCTCTCCTTTAGAGTGAACACTTCCTCACTCAGAAATGTTATTCATTAAAATAATACAAACAAAACAATTTTTAAGTTCACTGTGTGTGTATATTGTGTATATGAATGTCCATACAATTGGTCTTAGTTCAGGCTTACATGTTGGGTTTGTGGTTGTTGTACAACTTAATTTTATTCTGAATATTATTACTGTTATTTTATTGGCTAAATGTTTATCTTTTTGCAGTTAAGGTGGTAAAATATAACATAAATGCTAATAAATCATTCTGAACTGAACAGTGAGAGAGAGACAGTCAGAGTAACACAGTAACTCAATAAAAGGTAAAGAGTAACTGAATCCCGTGTGAAACCCAAACTGATCTGATTTAAACATGGAGACTGTGCTGTGTGTCTTTTAGCTGCTTCTGTCTTTCTGAGCGAGTGTTTGAGTTTCCTTCATTCATTCAGTTCAATCAGTGTGTTTGTGTGTCTCCACAGCTGCAGCAGTTCAGACCATCTTATCCTCAGAGCCAAAAACCAGAGAAGATTTTCTACAGTGTACGAACAACACACACACACACACACACACACACACACACACACACATACACTCTCACACACACACAATACACACACACACACACACACAATACACACACAAACACAATACACACACACACACACACACACACAAACACACTGACACACACACACACACACACACACACACACAAACACACACTGACACACACAGACACGCACACACTCATACACACACACACACACTCACACACACACATACACACACACACACAAACAGACACACACTCAGACACACACACACACACACTGACACACACACACACACACACACACACACAGACACGCACACACTCATACACACACACACACACACACACTCACACACACACATACACACACACACACAAACAGAAACACACTCAGACACACATACAAACACACTCACTCAGCTATGTACACACATACACACAGACACACACACACACACTCAGATACATACATGCACACACACACACTCACACAAATACATACACACTCACACACACACTCAAACAGACACACACTCACACACACAGATACATTCACATGCACACACACACTCACACACACACACACTCAAACACACACACACACACACTACAAACACACACACACTAACACACACACATTCACACATACTCTCTCTCTCACACACACACACACACACACACTACAAACACACACACACTAACACACACACACTCACACATACTCTCTCACACACACACACAGATAGACACACACACACAATACACACACACACACACACACTCACACATATACACACACTCAGTCACACCCACATACACACAATACACACACACAATACACACACATACACACACACACACAAATGTATAAATATTGTATGATTTAACTATGAATATGTTTGTATATGAATGGTGGAGATTTTGTCGCCTCTAAACTGTTAAATACTGAAATGTGTGAGGAGAGAAAACGTCATTATTCACTACAGACAGTTTATATTTATGTATGTTTTTGAATAAAAACCTAAAATGTTTTTCTTTCTTCATTATTGTAGATTTCTGTCGACTGACTCTGGATCCCAACACTGTAAATCATCAACTCAGACTGTCTGAGCAGAACAGAGTGGTGAAGTACAGAGGAGGAGAGCAGCGTTACTCTGACC